ACTAGATGGGTGATGGGTATTAAAAACAGCACTTGTTGTGATATGAGCACTGGGCGTTGTATGTACGTGATGAATCACTGAATTCTACTCCTGAAACCAATATTGCACTGTATATTAACTAACTAAAAAAGAAAACCTGCTTTTGAGATAAGGAGACTAAGACTTAAATGAACTCAAGTAACCAACCAAAGGCCACATGACTCAAAAATGACAGAGCTAGGACTTATACTCACATTTGTTTCCCTCTAAAAGCTATGCCCTTGATGACTCCACATCCTGCTTGAGACATCTTAGTAAGTGCTTACCAAGTGTTTGCTAAGTTTTAAATGATAAACCAATCAATAGATTTAAAAAGTTTGAGGGAAAAAAATCCACTCAGCCTTGAGCCCCGTGGTGATAACTGGCTATAAAAGGGAAGAGAGTGGGCAGTAGCTTTGAGGCATGATGTGTTAATGTTGGAGGCGAGGGGGATTGCTTTGAAAGATGGAAGAGATTGGAGTATGTTTAGATGACAGACAAGTAAACAGGCGATTAAAATACCAAATGTAGCCATCATCCCTCAGTCCACATCATGTCTCATTGAGGACACAGTTCATCACTCCATCCTCCTTAACACTGCTCACTGGCTTCCCTGACTGCTCCCTCAGTTCTCCTGCCTCACTGACCACTCCTTTTCAGACTTCTTTATCGGTTTGTCCTAAAAAATGAAGGGTGCTTCATTGTGTGGCCCCTGCTTAACTCTCTGGCTTCACATAGAACGACTCCCCTCCACATCTAGACTTTGGCTATTCTGAATTAACTTGCAGTTTTCACTTAGGACCCTCTTATGACCCACAGGACATTGCTAGTGAGTTTAAAGTACGCTATGAGTCATAGGGAGCTATTAAAGTGTTGTCAGAAGAGTTTGATAACAATAAATATGTTATTTAAAGACGTATCTGGTTTGATTAGATTAAGAAGGTAAACAGAGAGTCCACGTTTTACAGTTATCCAGGTACGCCCAAGCTCATGGTGATAGGGATAGAGAAGAATGGGTGGAATTGAGAGATAGGAAGGAAGGAAGGAAAAGAGACAGGATTTAGGGACAGACTCTGGAGAGGGAGGAGGCAAGAAAGACTCTCAGGTTTCTGACTTGAGCAACGGGTAGATGGTGGCATCCTTTACCAAGATAGAAAATACAGCAAGAAGAGTTCATGGGCATGGGGTGGGGATGAAGAATACAGCGGTGGATAGCATGGGGTTTTATAGGACTATGGGTCATTCAAGGGGAACAATTGACTCTACGAGTCTAAATGTCTGAAAGGAGGGCTGGGTCAGAGGTTGAGAACTGGAAGCCATCAGGCGCATGTGGTATCCCGATGGAAGAAAGTAAAAAGAGAAAGAAGAACAGAACTTTCAGGAAATGCCAACATTTAAGGGATGGGCAGAAGAATGGAAGGGGGAGAGAGATGGAGAGATTGTGAATAGGAGAGAGGAATATCACAAAAGCTAAGGAAGAAGACAGTGTCAAGGAAGGAGGTGTTACATGTTACAGAAATGTCAGATAAAATAAAGTATGTCTTGTGTCCTTTTGATTTAACAATCAGAAGTTGCTGATCTTGGTAAAAAGCGACTTGGATGGAACATTGAGGAAAAAGCAAAATGAGAGTTGATTGATTTATAGGAGTGAGTAGGCCATCTCTAGGTGTTCCCCTCCCAACCTGGGAGCTTCTGACAGACAGGAACCACACCTTACCCACCTAGAACTCTGCGGTGCCCTGCTTGCCATGTTTTTGATACGGTGCTTCCATTAATGCAGCTCAAGTCACTTGTTTGTTTAGCTTCTTTAACAGCCACTTGACACTGATGACTAATTAAACTTGTAAGAATTTTTCACACATCCTTTCTTGAGTTTTGTCACTTGTCAATGCTATCTTTGCGTGATTAGAGTTTGGGGCCCTACCGTATAAATATTCATATGAAACATATTAAATGTAGCCCATTACCATGGCTTATCTGGGTTTCATTTTGGAATTCTAGTTTGTCATTTGAAATAACCCATTTTATTGTGTTTCTTATGCTTTTGTTTTTTGTGATTTTTTTTTTCCTAGTATAAAACAAGCAAAGAAGGGAGTGTGATGGGAGTTACAGTATCCCGCCTTGCGATGTTGTCTCACTGCCAAGCTCTGTCCCAGGCCTGCAATTATTCTGAAGGTCAGACTTCATCTCGTGACTGCCCTCATTGTGAGCTTCAGATATATGTGACTGTGAGCAGAGTGCTCAAAGATTGGATTCCAGTTAATGACCAAACTCAGAGTGAAGTGCTTTAGGACACATTCTTGGCTTGCTTTTGCTTTTCTTTTTCACAAATATGCTGTAATTTAAAGGAACTAAAATGCTGGGCAAACCAAATATGTAAAGCATGATTTCTAGAGTGCAGAAATAGGAAACAAATTAAAACCATGTGTTTATTAGCTGCAGAATGTTACATATCTCCATCTCCCTGTGTTTATAGAGCTGACACCAGTTGTACATTTGGAGTTAAAGAAATCCAGCTACCAAAAAGCACAAATTAAAACACAAAAATGTATTCTGTATTGTGAAAGTTTAGATGTGTTGATATAGTATAGTGACTCTTTGCCTTAGAATGTTCTTTGCAATATTAAATTTTTTTAGTACTTTATTTTCCTTTCATAAAATGAAGCAAGTTATACATGTTCATTATAGAACAGCATTCTTGTCTGCTAAAATGCATATATATAATGGAAGGAATCAAAAGCCAAAAAAATGGGGATTGATTAAATTATAATATGCTCAAGTAGTGGGTTATACCCTGAGGCATTCAGACTCCTGTTCTTGAATATTAAAGATCTAAGGAAATTATTTCAATATATCATTAAGTGGAAACAAATTAGATACAGTGCAGTATGCCCGTTTTGTTATGGTAGATATCTGTCTAGATATAAGGATGCTTAGAAGTATGTGTAGATCTATATAAATATATAGATATAGATATACACCAACTTTTTTTACTTTCTCCAGAAAGTATAATTTTTTACATGTGTTTCTGAAACATGCAGTTCTAAAATAAGCATGTGTTCCTTGTATAATTAGGAAAAAAATACTACCTCTTGGAAGACAGTGCCTGTGTCATAATAAGTTTCAGACTCCTTATCTCTTCTGTGACCTTGTTCCCCTGTGATCGGTCCCCTAGCCAGTTTGAGGGGAGCCTCAAGTAATCAGAAGCTTTTAGTGATTTCTTCAGAAATATAAAATCAGTTGTTTAATAGAGACAAATGAAACACATCTGCTGCTTAACACTGAAGATGATTTCCTTTTTCCTATTTTTTCAATCTTAGGGGAGACAGTGGTAAATGTTTTAGACTTTAAGAAGGATGCCGGGCTATGGCATGGCATGTTTGCGGTAAGCTCCTCAGAATTATGGCCTTTAGTGTAAATTGTGCTTATAATTCAGGTTGGTATGTAAGCTGTGTAACCAGACCATCTCCCAGTGGTTATTTGAAATGTAATTCCCCCCAAAATCAATAATATTTTCCAGAAGAATTTTGTAATACAGATGGTAACTTTTTTAAAGGAGAATGTAATTCTGTTTTTTCTTCAGTGTGTGGTTGGACATACTCTTCACATAACTGTGTAGGAGAACTTAGGATCAAAAATTTTTTAAACATTTGCTATGACGGCTCAAAACTATTATAGTACCACTTTTCTACAAATGACTATATATGTATGATTAAAGTACATTTGAGATTTACTTCTTCTCTTTTCTGAAGAAAGGATTTACATGAATGTATTTAGATCCTGGTAACTGTGCTTAATGACATCTAACTTTTCCATTGGGCAAAATATATTGAATGACTCCAAGCAACAATTAAAGAGTAAAGTAACAAGGTAGATCAGCTCCTTTCCACAATAGAGGAACAGGTAACATGCTGTGGGAGTTAGAGAAAGGTGAGTCCCTCCCACCTCCAGCATCAGGCCATTTTTATAGAAGAGCGACAATTGAGTTGGACTTTGAAAAATGGGCAAGATTTAGCCATATGGCGATATCTTGTGGGTGGAGGTAAAGAGGGGACATTTCAATGGGAAAAACTACCATATATAGCGTGCTGATTTGGAAGGAAGAGAGACAAAGGGTCCAAAAGTTGAAGAGGACCTTCAAGAGATTGTCTCTTCCAACTTCCTTGCGTATTGCAGGAATCTGAGAAAGAGTAGCAAATGAAGCCTAGGGGAGGAGGAGGAGGATCCCTTTTCACCCAGGACACACTTCAAAGTAGTAAGAGCCTGTTCCTTCAGTGTACATAATTTCTAGCTCATTTCTGAAGCCCTTTTGATTGGTTAAAACACCCTTTTGAGGGGTTAGAGAGAATTTTCTACCTGTGATACAAAGAGCAAGATGGGGACGTGTAGAAGAACTAGTATTAACACCGTTTTGTCCTTGAAAATCCCAAAATTTGTCATCACAGCTAGAAACGTGGGGGAAGGAGGTAAAAGAGGTTTACAGTGGTGTCTTGTATTTTGGGGGGCCACTTAGGTGATGATCAGAATGGCCAATCTAAATACCAAGACTTAATTACTCTGTGGGCTGGATCTCTTTGGGAACCGGGGTCCTGTGTATATTCGGTTTGGGGGGCAGGAGAGACACCAAATTCCATGACTCACTCAGCTCACTCAGCTTTATCTACCCAAACACTTAAGAAGTCTGAGCAGATCCTCCTTTAAGAATCAGGGAAACGCTGATTTCTTGCTTTGTAATAGCCAGCTCTTTGTGGGATGTAGTGAGCATGTGCATGATGAAAGTGCTTAGCGAGTTGGAGGGCAGTTTGGCAGTATCTGGTGAATTTTAAAAGCACATATCCTATGACCCAGCAGTACCTACTTTCTGTATCTACTGTAGACAGACACTTGCACACGTGTGCAGGGAAGTGAGTATAAATATGTTCCTTGAGAAACACTGTTTGTAATAGCAAAACGTTGTCAGTGATAGAGAAATGCCTAAATAAATTGTGCTATAGTCATACTGTGGAATAGTATGCAGCAGCTCAAGAAGTATTATGTAGATCTCTTATACTCGTGTGCACAGATTTAGCTCTAAAACATTTTAAGTGAAAAAAAAGCAGGCTGCCAATCTATGTATGATATGATGCCTTTTAATGTTAAAAATGCTTTTATCTTCCTTTGTGGACAAATATATATGAGTTATACAGCAAAAGGGCCCGGAGGATACATGCCAGTTTCATAACCGGTAATCTCTGAGGAGGAGAGGAACGAACCAGGTTTAAGGGTAGATAGCAAATAAGACTTCAGCCTTAGAGTTAATATTTCAGGTTTTTTTCAAAGAGCATATGTTACTTCTGTGCCTAAAACCATTAATGATAGTTCAGTTTTAAGATGCTGAGTATGTTGGGTATTGATTACTTTTTGTCTTTCTTTGCTTTTTCAGAATGTAATGAACAAGATGCATACAATTAGTGTACCCTACTCTGTTATGAAGACTTGCCCGCTCTCTTGGGTCCAGAGAGTACATGCCCACAAAGGTAGTTGCACACAACATCTGAGCTTTAATTATGTGACTGTTTGAACTGAGATTTCAGGGATTTTCAAATTGCTCTTCTGGAGACATAATTCTGTGCCTTGGTGGCTTGACGGGTTTTAGAGTTCAATCACTATCAAATTAGGTATGTTGTCTGTTTCATCTCACTTGATGTCCTTTCTTATGAGCCGAGGTGAATTTGCTTGAATCTGAACCCTGAATTAGATTCATTAGGTGTTTCAGTGTTCAGAGTTTCCTTGGCCGAGCTATGTGGCCTGCCTGCAGGTCACAGTAAGCAAAACAATTGTGCGTCCGTGTCAGTTGCTACTGCTTCAGAGCACCTGGCACAATTTCTTTGAAGCCTTTTTTATTTTCTCTAAGTGAAAATCATGATCCCTAAAATAAGTAAAAATGTTTTTATTATAGTGTATTAAATGCACACCAGTTTTAGCATGTATGTGTGTGTTAACTTTATCCGTTTTGAATTTATAGCCAAAGTAGCTTTAGTAAAATGTCGAGACTTGCATTGGGCTATGATGGCACATCGGGACCAAAGAGATGTCAGCTTGAGTTCCCTCCGGATGTTAATTGTAACTGATGGAGCTAATCCCTGTGAGTATTTCTAGAGTGTGTGTGTGGGAATAGCCTTTCCTTTGGTAGGTTGAGGTTTTTCCCCCTTTCCGTAAGCATTTTTTTACATCTGTATTGAAATGTAATTCACATACCATAAAACTCGTCCATTTAAAGTGTGTGGTTCAGAGGCTCCTGGGTGGCGCAGTCTTTTAAGCATCCAACTTCGGCTCAGGTCACGATCTCACAGTTTGTGAGTTCCAGCCCCATATCGGGCTCTGTGCTGTAAGCACAGAGCCTGCTTGGGATCCTCTGTCTCCCTCTCTGCCCCTCCCCCACTTGTGCTATCACTTGCTCGCTCTCTCTCTGTCAAAAAAACATTTAGTAAATGAAGAAATGTATAAAGAAATAAGTGTGCTGTTCAGTGGTTTCAGGATATGCACAGTTATACAACTGTCACCATGAACTAAGTTTAGAACATCATTACCTCCCCGCATTAAAACAAAACAAGACAAAACAAAACAAAAAAAAACATAACCATTGATAGTCACTCCTTATTTCTCCCTCTCTGTTCCCTAGCCCTAGGCAACTGTTCATCTACTTTCTTTGTCTACAAACTTACCTACCCTGGACATTTCATATACCGTATGTGGCCTTTTGTGATTGGCTTCTTTCACTTAGTATGTTTTCAGGATTCCTCAATGTAGCATGTGTTCATACTTCATTCCTTTTCGTTACCATATAATACTCCATTGAATAGATATACCACATTTTATAAGCTTTCAGAAACACCCCTTATTGCTCACTCATTTATATCCTTTTTCTATCATGTGACTATAAGGAGTGATAAGAAGTTGACTTGATGTAACCCAAGTGTCTGGACTTTATATAAATTCCCCCTATGAACAAATCAAAGGACTTGGGGAAAGCTTTTGGAAATCTTACCATGTTACCTGCTTTTCCCTCCAAGCACAAACACCTGAGCCTCCACACAGTAGAATCAGGTAAAGTGTTAGAAACTATGCTCTCAGGGCGCCTGAGTGGCTCAGTCAGTTAAGCATCTGACTCTTAATTTCGGCTCAGGGCATGATCCCGAGGTTATGGGATTGAGCCCTGCATCAGGCTCTGCACCAAGCATGGAGCCTGCTTAAGATGATTCTCTCTCCCCCTCCGCCCCTTTCCCCTGTTCATTCTCTCTCTCTCTCTCTCTCTCTCTCTCTCTCTCTCTCTCTCTCTCGTCTTTCTCAAATTAAAAAAAAAGAAACTGTGCTCTTTGCTGTAAGTGCATTTCTGTCAGTAGTCACAATGGTATAAACACAGATGTGGGGTTGACCTTAGAAACAAATCTGAGATTATCGCATAGAAGAGAATGGCTGCAGTACATCTCTGCTATTGATTGCACGGTTTGGTAGGAGCAGCCCTATTCCAAGTTGTGACTTTAAATAGTGTCAGTGACCTTTTATGGGCTGACTGAGCATTTATTTGTCCTTGAAATGTATCCACCATCTCACAGGCACAATAAAATATCTGTATGGAATTAAGGAGGTACAGTGAGAGTCTCATGAAAAGCAAATGTGTTGGCTCTCCACTCCACCAATTTTCTACAGTAATGAAAATCACAATTTTAGCTTTCACGTTGATTTGTTCCAACTCCTTAGGGTCTGTGTCATCCTGTGATGCCTTCCTGAGTCTATTCCAAAGCCATGGACTGAAACCTGAGGCCATCTGTCCATGTGCTACTTCTGCTGAAGCCATGACTGTCGCAATCCGCAGGTATTGTGCAGAATGTCAGTGTTCTTGATGTGTGTTACAACTTTAATCAGATGTGTGCTATTTACTGGGCGATGACAAGAGGTGCTAACTAATTTTCTGCTTCATCAGCCTAAAAGTGAAAATGACTTTGTAAAGCAGTTGGAAGCATCTCATTTATTTTTCCCACTCTTGCCGTAAGGGTAACTGGTAAACTGAAAATATACTTTAATTCTTCTCTCATAGTTGTGAACGAGTTCTTTTTCTGCATTGTTTTGCTCTTCAGACTCCTTAGTTAGCATCTTAGATGAGAAATAGGCTGTCCTTGTGGCGCCTGGGTGGTTCATTCAGTTCAGTTAAGCATGTGACTCTTGATCTCGGCTCAGATCATGATCTCACGGTTCATGAGTTCAAGCCCCACGTCGGGCTCTGTACTGACAGCATGGTGTCTGCTTGGGATTCTGTCTCTACCATTCTATCTGCTTCTCCCTTCTTCCCTCTCTCTTTTTCTGTCTCTCTCTCTCTCTCTCTCAAAATATATAAATTATCTAAAAAAAAAAAAACAACCCACAAAATAGGTTGTCCTTGGTTACATCTGAAGTGTGGAAAGTATACACAAGCCAATATATTCTTAATAATAGATTGAAATTTACTTTTTCCATCTGAATGAATGTGGACCATGCTTTATACATGTGAATTTGATTAATTTAACATGTTTTTGGCGGAGAAAATGAGTATTTTGTGTGTGTGTTGTAGTCAGAGGAAATTTGCTTTTATATGTACATACTTTTACGTTGATATCATTTAATTTGCCAAATTTGACGAGTTTATTTTGTTTTCAGGCCTGGAGTTCCAGGGGCCCCTTTGCCAGGAAGAGCTATTCTCTCAATGAATGGATTGAGCTATGGAGTAATACGGGTCAATACTGAAGATAAAAATTCAGCACTGACGGTCCAGGATGTGGGCCATGTAATGCCTGGTGGTGAGTCCTTAGGAGCACCATTTGGTTTTTCAAAAAGATTTGTCATTAGAGATAGTAGAACCCGATAAAAATGAGATCCACAACCAGGAATAAAAAATTTAGTTCTTAGCCTCTTAACTTCTCAAAGCCTCTCTAACAGTTCAGCGATTCTAATTATACTTCCTTTCCAGCAGTATTGTATGATTTCATCATGAATGATTCCATTACAGTTGTTCATATGGAAAGCTTAAGTACTGAGTTGCACTAAAGTTGTCTGGTTTTCACCGTAATTGCCAAGACATTGGGACTGGCAGAAAGTTAGAGCTCAGTGCTCCCGTGAGTGTTTGAGTTTGATTTGCCCAAGGGTAAATTAATTTCACCTGTTTCTTTGGACACTGTAGTCATTTTTAACATGTTACTGTCTTGGAAAGCGGTGGTCTGCATCTGTCATAGTTTTATTTGCTGAATTTTAAAAATAACTTGTTTATCATCGGGACTAAAAGATGGGAATTCAGATATACCTATGTAGTATCAGGTCTATTTTTGACATTCTTGTTTGGCATTCTTACTTAATTCCGTTCAGTAAATGCAAAACTTTCCTGGGCTCAGAAGGATGAGGCTGTTATTTTACAAAGGTTTTCTAGAATCTCTGTCTCTTAACTGTATTTTCTGCACCCTAGGGATGATGTGCATTGTGAGACCCGATGGACCTCCCCAACTCTGCAAAACAGATGAAATTGGAGAGATCTGTGTCAGCTCTAGAACAGGAGGCATGATGTACTTTGGGCTTGCTGGTGTGACAAAAAATACATTTGAGGTACATGATATTAAATTTGGGGGGGAACTTATCTAGTGAGGTCAGGGTGTCACTAGGTCAAATGACCTGGCCGATGGGAAACAGCACAATATAGCAGCTGAGAAAGTGTATTCTGGAGCTAGGCTGCCTCAGTTCAAATCCTAAGTCCGCCACTTACTCGCTGACCTTGGAGGAGTTGCTTAACCTCTCTGTGCCTTAATTTCCTTATCTTTAAAATGTGAGGAACCATAGTACATACCTCATAGCATTGTTGTGAGGACTAAATGAGTTAATGTTTGTTTGTTTTTAACATTCATTTATTATTGAGACACAGAGAGAGACAGAGCATGAGCATGGGAGGGGCAGAGAAAGGGGAGACACAGAATCGGAAGCGGGCTCCAGGCTCCAAACTGTCAGCAGAGAGCCCAACACGGGGCTCGAACTCGGAAACCGCGAGATCATGACCCCAGCTGAAGTCAGATGCTTAACCGACTGAGCCACCCAGGCACCCCAACGAGTTAATGTTTGTAAAGTGCTTAGAACACCCCTGGTGCACAAGAATTACTGTTTATCTGTTACATAAATGAAGAGTAAAAGGCCTCATAAAAGTTCACTCTGGTGAATATGCCATACTTTGAGTTTCATAAGCCCCAAAATTTAATTTTAAGAGTACAGTGACAGCAGATCCATCTCTCCAGAGTAGACTCAAGTTAGCTGAGCCTATGAGGACTGATGCCAACCAGAACACCAAGTTACTGATGAAAAACTGTCCTGTCACAGGGGCAGGTTGCTCCCATTATTCAGTCTTTCATTCAACACATGTTTACTGAGCACCTTCTGTGTGTCCCAGCAGTATTCTAGATGCTTGGTACCTCAGGAAAACAAACGGAGCTCCTCAAATAACTCATGTTCTAGTGAAACCAGCACATTGTTTTCCTGCGGACAGTTCTGAGTGTAAAGACTAACAGTAATGAAAGTTTGCCTAATGGGGCTGGAAATCAGAACAGGCATAAGGAATTATCTATATTTCCTAATTGGGATTAACCTGCCACAGGGTAGCTTTTAGGGAACAGAAAACTCCATCTTATGGGCCATGATATTATGACCAACTGCCAATTTTCAGTTCTTTGAGCTTCCTTTTTCTATACTTGACTCTCAGTCTCAGTATGGCAGGGCATATCTATCTACCATACCATTATTGGCACATACCATTACATAATTATGTTGTAATAGACCTGACAGGAGAGTATTACCTATATGAATAGTGTGGTAGCTGGAAAAGGTGAAGAGCTCCTGGGCTGTCCATCATCTGTTTACACAGCCTAGAATGGTGTAAATTATTAAATGTCTGTCTGTTGTGACCATCCTTGCATCATCAGTAACACTATTACATTCTTGGCCTTCCTTCAGAAGTTGCGATCCACTCACCTCAATAAGAGTGGGCATTGATAAACTCTTAAAGCACGCGTTTACCGCCAGTAACTTTGCTCTCACAAGTGACTACTTGCGCTGTCTATACATTTCACTAATTTAAATGTCACCCTAAAAGAAAAAAAAAATCTCACCCTACTCTTCTTCTTTTTAAATGCTTGGACTACACGGGGCGCCTGGGTGGCGCAGTCGGTTAAGCGTCCAACTTCAGCCAGGTCACGATCTCGCGGTCCGTGAGTTCGAGCCCCGCGTCAGGCTCTGGGCTGATGGCTCGGAGCCTGGAGCCTGCTTCCGATTCTGTGTCTCCCTCTCTCTCTGCCTCTCCCCCGTTCATGCTCTGTCTCTCTCTGTCCCAAAAATAAAATAAAAAAAAAAAAACGTTGAAAAAAAAATTTAAATGCTTGGACTGCATATGTTTCCAATATCTGAATTTTTTGTCGTTCCATTTTCCTTACTATAAACAAGATCCTTAAGCAGTGTTTGAAGACACCGATAGTATTTTATTACATTGCCTTTCCGATAAGAGCAACTGCCTAGCCAAAATTCTCAGATTTTAATATCAAACTGCCAGGTCCATAGTGATGAAGGGATTCTGAAATCTGCAGTATAAATTTAACGATAGGGAAGTAGAATAAAAATCCTAACCAAAAAAGGAGAAAACAATTGCCTTTTGTTTGGGTTTGTTTTTGGGTTTTTTTTTGGTTTTTTTTTTGGTTTTTTTTTGTTTTGTTTTGCAAATTGAAGTTTCTAGTGTTTTCTTACTGGATTTTCTATTTAAATCTTGAGAGAGTTTTCCAGTGCGGTTAACCTTTCACTGGGACAGAAGACCTAGTAATGACTACAAAACGAAGCAAAGTGTATCTTTAAAAATAAGCTGCTGGTGAGAAAAACTTCAAAGAGCTCATGCCTTTTGTACAAATACACCGAGATCTGTACAGCAATATTCAGTAAAGCACATTTATAACAGTAAAATTAGATGGCCTTCCTCACCGGAAAGACGGCTTACATTCTAATAGTACTAATTCTTGTAGTTTCCTGAGTACTGATTCTGAGCCAAACACTGTGCTTATGCCTGCAAATCTGTTTACGTTCCCTAAATCTTTACCCTAAACCTGTGAGAGGCATTGGGAGCTCTGTTTTATGGCCAAAGACACTGAGGCTTCGAGAAGTCCAGGAACTTACTTGTCAGTGGCAGAGCCAGAAGTTGAACTTTCATCGGACTCCAAGGGCTGTTCTGTCTTGTCCCCCATGCGATGATATGTTGCAGGACTGTTGAACAAAGGGAGCTAGAGCAACTGTCACCAACTTTCAGAGATATCCCAAATACATATGTTATGTGAAAAATATATAGTATGTGAAAAAGCAGGTTGTGAAACAGTATATGTAATAGGATTCTTTTTTTTTTTAATAAATTCTTACTACATTAATACATGCGTGTAAAAAAAGTCTGAGAGATATACAGCAGATTGTAAATGTTTCTTTCTTAAAGGGGTGGGGATACTGAAGTCATTATTTATATCATTTTAATTTTTCAATAAGCGTATATTACTATTATAATTTTTCTAAGACATTTTAAAAATTAAATACAGGGCGCCTGGATGGCTTATTTGGTTACACATCCAACTTTGGCTCAGGTCATGACTCGTGGATCATGGGTTTCAGCCCCGTGTGGGGCTCTGTGCTGACAGCTCAGAGTCTGGAGTCTGTTTCGGACTCTGTGTCTCCCTCTCTCTCTCTATCCCTCCCCCACTCATTCTCTGTCTCTCTCTCTCTCAAAAAATAAACATTCAAAACAATTTTTTTATAAAATAAAAATCAAATACATATTTTAAGAAAAAGCTAAGATTTTCACTGCTTTCTATCTTTTAGGTAATTCCAGTCAATTCTGCAGGCTCTCCTGTTGGGGACGTCCCCTTCATCCGGTCAGGATTACTGGGGTTTGTAGGGCCGGTAAGTGATGCATTCATGTTTGTTTTGGTGTATCTGATCCAGGTATTTAGACTTCACAAGGTTTTCGTCACAGAACAGAACAAATTCAGATTAGTTCAGAAGTGTTAAAGAGTGTTACAGAGTGGTTTCTGTAAGAATGTCATAAACTCACCTAATGTTTATTGCTTTCATTACCCACATTCACTTGACTCCTTTAAGCTGAGATATTTTTTATTTTCAAAAATTCTTTTCATTTAGTCTTGCTACATTTCTTTGATTTGATTTGTATGTTTCACTGAGTTAGAAGAGCGCTAAAAAAAAGTTACCTTCAATAGCAAAGGGAATGACACCTGAGAGGCTCATTTGGTTAAGCATCTGACTTTGGCTCAGGTCATGATCTCACAGTTCATGAACTTGAGCCCCATACTGGGCTCTCCTCTCTCAGCGCAGAGCCCACTTCAAATCCTCTGTCTCCCTCTCCCTTTGCCCCTCCCCAGCACGCTCTCTCTCTTAAAAATAAATAAATATTTTTAAAAAATTTTTTAAATAGCAAAGGGAAATCATAATAGTGTGCAAAGCATTTTCATACAAATTATCGGCACTATACCATGTATAATAATAAATTTTTCAAATATTAACTGTTTGTTTTCCAGCAAATGGTATTCACAGGCACTGCGTTCACGGAGACCATTAAGATACAAAATCTGTTCTCAGAGAGTTAACAGTTTTGTGAGCCCACAAAGAAGGCAGAGAGCCAGATTATGAAGGGTTTTGCGTGATGTTGTGGGAAGTTTGGGTTGTATTTTGTAAGTAACAGACATTTGTGGTCATAGTTAAACCCATATGTCTCCATCTACCTCTCTTTTACCTCCCTACTCTTTCATCTCCTCTTACCAGCTCAAGTTACATAAGAAAAGACCTAATTTTACTTCTTCCCCACCATTTATGGGGGCAGGGGGTGTGAGGGCATGCCACTAAGACGATTGCTATCCTAGAAAGAGAAGTCTGTACCTACTGTCTTAACTAATCCTGTCAGCACCAAAAAATTCTCTAAAACCTAGCTCCTTTTAAAGGTTACCTCTCCACCACTGAAGTCCAAGATGGAGCTGCAGGATCCCGTCTGCATTCCAGAAAACGGGACAGGGGAAAGAGTATATCCCACCATCTCTTAAGGAAGATTTCCTGAAGCTACTGAGCAACATGTCATATCTTTTTTTTTTTTTTTTTTTTGTCAAATTATTAATTTAGCATATAGTGCAGCAATTTCTAGGTAGATTGTAATTGCCCCTTACCCATTTAGCCCATCCCCCCTCCCCACAACCTCAAAGCTATTTATAGTTTGTTCTTCATATTTATGAGTCTCTAATGGTTTGTCCCCCTCCCTGTTTTTATATTATTTTTCTTTCCCTTCCCTTGTGTTCATCTGTTTTAGTCCTATCTTTAGTCCTATCTTAAAGTCCTCATATGAGTGAAGTCGTATGATATGTGTCTTTCTCTAATTTCACTTAGCATAATACCCTCTAGTTCCATCCACGTAGTTGCAAATGGCAAGATTTCATTCTTTTTGATTGCCAACTAATACTCCATTGTATATATATACCACATTTCCTTTATCCATTCATCCATCGATGGACATTTGGGCTCTTTCCATACTTTGGCTATTGTTGATAGTGCTGCTATAAACAAGGGGGTGCATGTGTTCCTTCGAAACAGCACACCTGTACCCCTTGGATAAATGCCTAGTAGTGCAATTGCTGGGTCATAGGGTAGTTCTCTTTTTAATTTTTTGAGAAACCTCCATACTGTTATCCAGAATGGCTGCACCGGCTTGCCTTCCCACCAACAATGCAAAAGACATCCTCTTTGTCCGCATCCTCGCCAACATCTGTTGTTGCCTGAGTTGTTAATGTTAGCCATTCTGACAGGTGCAACACCTTTTATCTGAACCGATCTGAACTAGTCCCGTGGCCACACTTAACTGCAAGGGGGCGCTGAAATGCAATCTTTATTTTGGTCACCCATGCCCAGCTAAAAATTCTACTGCAGTGAAAGAAATGGAGAAATGGACAGAGCAGTGTCTGTCTCATTCTCTTTACTTATGTCCACCATAGCACTTTTCAGACTGTGTTGGAAATGGCTGGTTCTTTCCTGTCTTCTCAGATTAGCCTGTGGTTTCTTGAGTCTAGAAGTTCTATCTTACTTACATAACCCAATCAGCATATGGCACTACATTGCGCTCAATAAATCACTAAGTGACATTCACGTAGAGATGACTACTAGATAATTGAATATGTATCAATTGTCCAGGAAATTTAGTACTTGTGTAATGAATGGAAAAGTCAATTTATTGCAAATGGGTCTAGGAGAATTTTTGAGAAGTATTATTTGTACAGTGATGTCTTTAGGGCGTTGACAGCAACATTTCCTGCAGCTATGTTATCTTCTTGGAGAGACTCCTATAGTGTTTCTCAGACCTTTCTTTATTAGCCTGTTTCTAATCTTGCCAGATGGAAACAGCATTACCCTTATAAATCTCGAACAGGTGTTCTCACATTCAGCTGTTTTCATCTCTTCCTAATTCCAGTATTAAATAAGTTAACAATTTTTTTCTTTGCATCCATCTCGTGAATAGGTACAAATGAACTAATATGACATAATCATGGCTGAGAAAATAAAATATGCTTGTGTGGAATCCTAGTTGCTTTCTTTCTTTTTTTTTTTAATGTTTATTTATTTTTGAGACGGAGAGAGACAGAGCATGAACGAGGGAGGGTCAGAGAGAGGGAGACACAGAATCCGAAGCAGGCTCCAGGCTCTGAGCTGTCAGCACAGAACCCGACACGGGGCTCAAACTCACGGACCGTGAGATCATGACCTGAGCCGAAGTCGGACGCTTAACCGACTGAGCCACCCAGGCACCCCAATCCTAGTTGCTTTTTTATAAAATTCCTCCGTAAGAATAAATATAAACAAATTCTTTTCTTATAGACTGTAATTTTTGTAAAATGCTATAGATTCCTCCTCTGATCTCTGAGATATGAAACACTCTTAGAATCCATAAAATACAGTGTTGTTTTCTTACATTTTTGATGAACTGTATTTCAAAGCAGAAAGTAAAATACCTGTTTTGCTATTTAAATAATGGAAATCAAGGTAAATTTTTATTACCTTTCAGGGCAGTTTGGTGTTCGTGGTTGGAAAAATGGATGGGTTACTGATGGTTAGTGGTCGAAGACATAATGCTGATGACATTGTTGCTACTGGATTGGCTGTTGAATCAATAAAGACTGTTTATAGAGGAAGGTGAGTAGTACAAAATTCAGATGTTAGCACTTGCAGTGGAATCTAAATGTATCTTTACAGGGTAATTTGAGTTGTATTCTGTAGAGTAAGTGATTGGGGGTTTTTTTGGTTAAGCATAGCAGGAATTGGGCTTTAAATATTTATCTCAACATGGCTGGGTTTGGCTGAAATTGAGAGGAATAAGATATAACCATATCCTGTATTTCAGTTTTTAATTATTACTATTTGTTGAATACTGAGGAGAATTCTAAAACATTGAACTTCTTACATTCCATCAATATAGAAGTAGTGCCATTCAGACTATCATCTAAGATAGATGCTATTTTGTAGGAATTTTACATCTGAGAACTGTTTCTCTTACAACTCACCTCTAAATTGTTACAACATTTTAACACAGAGATTGACGTAGTACCTAAGTGCTAATTTCAAATTCCATGGATAAAGTCAACTACAAACCCTCTTTTCTTTGCTTATTAATACAAGAAAAGATATTTGGTACATACTTGAGTAGTTGATGTCTATCCAGTAGTTTATTTACAATCATGGATATGTATCCTTAAAGCATTAAGAAGTAGCAAAAACTAATGAAACCAGTAGAGAACCAGTTCCTAAAACGTGTAGTGTTTATAATAACGTGGCTTCCTCTGAGATGTAAACTCCGTGGGGCACTCGACCTTCTGTCTTTGGTCACCGTTATATCCCCGGCACTCAGCACAGCGCCTGGCACACGGTAGGTATTCAATGAATATGTGTGGAAGGAAGGAAGGAAGGAAGGAAGGAAGGAAGGAAGGAAGGAAGGAAGGAAGGGAGATGGTCCCATGTGCTGGCACATTCAGCTCTCCGGTGACTTCCCGTTCTTTCGTGCATCCTTTCAACAGATATTTATTGGGTGCCAACCGTGTGCCACTATCATGCATGCTCAGAGTGTGGCATGTGGCAGTGAACAAAACAGGCCAGGTTTCTGCCCTTGTGAAGCTCACGTTCTCACTGAAGGAAACCGAGAGTAACTACAAAGTCAGGGACAGAAAGAACATGTGAGATGGTGATAAGGGCCACCTAGAAAGAACACCCTGGGGGTGGGAGTGCGCTCGCCGGTTTCTCTAGGGTGGTCTGGGAATGCCTCGCTCGTAAGGGGACGTTCGAGCGGAGACCTCACTCAGAACATCCCCCTCCCCTCAGCCTGCCAGGTCCCCCTGCCTGCCCTGGCCTGGCTCTGACCTCTCCCCACCACTCTCTGCTTACCACTCTGCTCCAGGCACACTGGCCTTCTTGCTGTTCCTCAAACCTGCCAAGCTCGTTCCTACCTCAGAACCTTTTCGCTTTCCGTTCCTTCTGCCCGGAAACCTCTTCCTCCAGATCTTCGCATGGCTCGCGTCCTCACTTCACTCAGGTCTCTGCTCCAGTGTCCGCTCCTCAGGGAGGCGCTCCCCAACCACCCCGCCTTCAGGAGCGCAGCCGCCCCGCATACCGCTCTGCCCCTCGCCCTGCCTTGCCTTTCTTCCTGGTGTAATACGACATGACGTTATTTTTATATTTATTTGTTCTGTCTCTGACGTGCAAGCTCCATGAAGACAGGGACTTTGTCTTGCTTACCACTGCATCCCAACGTTCGTGCCGGTGGTGCTTACTAGTACATGTTTTTTGAGTCCTCATTTTGATGGTAATGACTGTGGCATTTTCTTTTCGAAACCACTCGTTTCTGGGTAGTGTGGTGGGGACAACTCCTCTCTGTAACTCCAACTGAGGAAAGCAAATAGGACTGGTTGTGAAGGGAGTCCTGATGTGTTTGATCTGTCTCTCTTAGAATTGCTGTGTTTTCTGTGTCTGTATTTTATGATGAGCGCATCGTGGTGGTTGCGGAACAAAGACCCGACGCCTCAGAGGAAGACAGTTTCCAGTGGATGAGCCGTGTGCTGCAGGTGAGCGCGCCTGGGGTTATTTGTCGGAGCAGGTTGGCTTTGTTGTCAGAGGTGGTGGCAGCCACTGATGAAGTCTCCTCTTTGTTGGGCCAGTCATGCCACCGTATTTCTTCCTGCCAGTAACTGCTCAGATATTCTGGGTACTGTTAGCAAAGTAATATAATCGGTACCATTTCTCCCTCCGGACTACATAGGATTTTCCTGCTCAGGTTGCCAAGAACAATTGAATTGACCTGCCTCAGCAAATTCTCTCACTTTTTTTGTTCCTGAGTGTTCACTGCCCGTGAAAGTTTAAACTGACCGCGTGTGCAGTACATCTTTGACAGAAATCAATCCACTTGTCAACAACGTGTGTGTAACCTGGTGCCTAGTGTGCAGGGATCCCAGCAAACGTAAGATGTCATTTTTGCTCTGAAGGAGCTTGCCTGTGGAGTTAGAGAGCTGGAGAAGGAGAAGATCTGGGCTCCATGTAAGGGATGTGTCACTAGTAGTTGGGGGCGGCGGGGGGAGAGTGAGTAGGAGGCGTAGAATGATGAAAAGAGCCTAGTCCTCAGTTTGAAATTATAGCCTTTGAATCCCAGCACCTCTCCATACCAGATATGCACCTTTAGGCAAGTTGCTTAACCTCACTGAGTTTATTTCTCAACCCATAAAGTGGGGCTAAAACGATCTTACGGAGCTGTGGGAAGGATTAAATGAGATCATTATTTGAAGTATACTGTGTGCATTCAGTAAATAACAATAGTGATTATTATTAACATCAAAAATAATCGTAAGTGTAATCTCCAATAAGGAGTTTAGAGAGACCCACTATTTTCAGTAACATTCCCTTTCATTCCACAGTTACTGTTTGCTGCATCAGCCATGGTCAAAGGCTCGTGAAGGCTGGAACCTCCTCTCCTGATAGTCATGCTAGCACATCAGCATAGTATAGGCCCAGCAAATATTTGTTGGATAAATGTATGATCCAAAGAAAACATGGACTGTCCTTCACAAAGAAAATTCTATGTTATTTTAAGTGTTCCCAACATCTATAAACTTGTCTACTTGGGGCGTTTAGATGTATTCACTGCCAGTTAGTAGTCATGTTGTAGAAATAATGCAAGCCTGAGATGAGTGATAGGGCTAGATAACTTTTAAGATTTCTTTTTATTCTCGAGGTCTGTGGTTCTGAATTATCAGCTGGCAGAGCGTAGGCTGTTTGTAGTGACAAGACAAGAAAGAAAATCTACTGAGGATGGGATGGACAGAAAAGACTATGAAGAGTAGGGGTGGGCTGATCTCTGAAAGATGGCTAAGAATCAGACTTGCATAGAGAGTGTTTTTCATATCATTCATGTTTTCAAATAAAATGTTTATTTCATTCAGAATAAATTGTGAGGCATAATGGTAGAATGTTGTGATGAATTAGATGTTTTTTCCCTATGATAGGAAATTGCCCAAGGTATTTCTTACTTTTCCCTGGAAAGCAAGTATAGGAATTATATGCAGGAATTATTGCAAAATTACATGCTAAGTTACTAATCCAAATTCTTGTAAAAGTCATTCAGGGTCTCATTTGGTCATGGAATAAAAGGGCATTATTTCCCTAGTCTCCATAGCTTCTCAGCCTAAAGCATTTGGAGCTATACAAGAAAGGTAAGGACGCCGTATGTTCTGGTAGTTGAGAGAGCCCAGAGGTTAACTCCAGATCTATGTATAATATGAACGAAATACTTAACTCAGCACCTTTTAAAGAAAGTAGTCAATAGATAACTTGCCAGATGGTGTATTTTCAGTGGGGAATCTAGGCTATATGTAATAACATTTGCTAACTCTCTGTATATTCTTAAACCCAGAGACGTAGGAACCCTGCCAGACTTTCTATTTCCCAGTTGTCTCTGTTGATTAGTAGGATACTCTGAGGAATATGATATTCATGTTTATTCCTTTGCCCTATTAAGTTATTTTAATAAAAGGCCTTGTCTGTCTTTTATGACTGTTGGTCCATTCTTCTGAGGCTATATCTCATTTTCAGAAAGACTTATGAGTGATACAGTAGAGTTCTCTTGGCTGGTATGTTTGGAACCGGTATTAATAGTTGGTCAGTTTCATTATTATTTTTTTGAGAGGAAGAGCGTGTACAAGCATGCACACGCGAGGGGGAGGGGCAGAGGGAGAGGGAGAATCTTAAGCAGGCTCCACGCCCAGTGCGTTTTAAAAGGTGGTTGAAGCAGAGAATCATAAAAATGAGAAATTCTTCAAGTATTAAATTTTAACCCAAAACATACATATCCTCCTTCATTTGATAGAGAGTAGCATGAATATGCATACACCAGTTTGCATTCCAGTCAACCTTCTTCCATAAACCACATCACATTGCATGGTTTTGGTTTCTGTTTTCATTTGTTAGACTAGAATGCAAGTATGTGCAAAGGGACTAGAATACATAATCTTTTAGAATTAACTTGTGTCTATCAACAGTAGTTTTTTAGGAGCTTACCTTCAGTGAGTCTTTCCAAAGCGTAATTCTCTCTGTCCTTTTATGCTCAGTTTTATCAATTGATATAATAGTTAAATTATGTGAACACAGGAACAAGCACAAACGTAAAAGGTGTAGAAGCAAGCCAGCTGATGCTCAGCGAGGGCACAGGTGCATGGCTGGGAGCGGAAGTGCACTGAGGAGGCCAGTGGCCTCTGGGGTTCAGTGTGTAGTAGCCTCACCCCATTGTTTTGCAGATGGGATTGTGGGTAACTTTGTGAACCACTTAAGCAGGAGCCCACTTCCAGTGCTTCTCATGTCCATAATAAAAATACTCTGCCTCTGGGGCACCTGGGTGGCTCAGTCGGTTAAGCAAGCGTCCGACTTCAGCTCAGGTCATGATCTCACAGTCACCCGTGAGTTGTTGTCAGACTCTGTGCTGTGGCTCAGAGAGCCCCTGGAGCCCTGTTCAGATTCTGTGTCTCCCTCTCTTTCTGCCCCCCTCCCCATTTCCTTACTCTGTCTCGTCTCTCAAAATAAAACATTTTTAAAAAATTAAAAAAAAATCCTCTGCCTCTATTGAACTGAGCTATGTTGTATATTAAAAGAATCAGGGCACCTGGGTGGCGCAGTCAGTTAAGCGTCCGACTTCAGCCAGGTCACGATCTCAGAGTCCGTGGTTGACCCCTTTGTCAGGCCTCTGAGCGGATGGCTCAGAGCTGCAGGGAGCCTCATTTCGATTCTGTGTCTCCTCTCTGCCCCTCCCCCGTTCATGCTCTGTCTCTCTCTGTCCCAAAAATAAATAAACGTTGAAAAAAAAAGAATCAAATCAGGTGCCCGGCTGGCTTAGTCAGAGGGGTGCGCAACTCTTGATCTCAGTGTTGTAGAGGTTTCAAGCCCCCCATGTTAGAAATTGCCAAAAATAAACTCTTAAATAACATAACATAACATAACATAACATAACATAACATAACATAACATAACATAACCAACACAAATTTCTAGGTGTTGGACATTATCTAAGAGAGAACATACTGAGGCTTACAAATCAGTATCCACTTCTGTCCATTTAGATCGTACCTTACCCCTCTTCTGTTGATCGCTGCCATTGCTGAAAGAATTAGGTAACTTCAGGTGTATGAGATCTTAATAATCTAGCAGATTCTAGACCTAGAATGGATTCTAGACCCAGAATGGATAGAAAAGGAAAAATCCTAGAGTAGAATAATGGATTATTTTAGGAGGATGTCAAATGTAGTAAAATTAATCTCACTGAATATTTTTCTTTGTATCTTTCTAGGCAATCGATAGCATTCATCAAGTGGGGGTTTATTGTCTCGCTCTGGTGCCTGCCAATACATTGCCAAAAACTCCACTGGGAGGGATCCATATATCTCAGACGAAACAGCTCTTTCTGGAGGGATCTCTACATCCTTGCAATATCCTCATGTGCCCACATACATGTGTGACCAATTTGCCAAAACCCCGGCAAAAGCAACCAGGTAATATGCTAGCTTTGAAAACATCATATTAAAATTAGAACTTCAAGAAGCTGACTTTTTTCAGCGTGATTCTTTCTCTAGATTTGGACTTTACAAAGAGTAGTAACACAAGAATAGCATTAGATGACCAAAAGCAGGGAGGATTGAGAACCTGCAGAATAGCCTTCTCTGACTTTATTCCTGGCTTCCTCTTCTGAGTAATTCTCAGTAGCGTGCCTCCATGTCCCCTGGATGTATAAAGGATGGGGTCAAGATGATCAAAATCCCACTGGTGGGACTGGAATAAAACAAGTTCTATAAGAGAAGGTTCTGATAATAATAAGAATAGCTAGTATTTATTGAGTGTTCAGCAAAAGCCAAATACAGATTAAGCATTGGACATACATGATCCTGAAGTGTTAGCCCCAAGCTGTGGAAAATAAAGTTCAGAAAAGTTAAGAATTGTGCTCAAAGACATGTAGCTAGTTAATGGCAGAGCTGAGATTCACACCAGTTGTGACTCTAAAATCCACACTCTGAATCACTGTTATACTGCCTTTCTGTTGGGAATCACTTGCCTAGAGTCATCCCATATTCCTTTTAAGCTTTAGGGGTCTGATTTAGGCCTATAATACCTGTAAGGAGCAAGATAACTTAATTTTGAAATTTTGTGGATTGTAAGCACAAGATAAATAATGCATTTTGCATTTGCCATATTCCTGTGAATTCAAGATGCAAGTAAGTATGTGTGAATTGCCATATGGAAAATAATCCATTTCACCTTTTTGCCTACTTTCTGAGGTTAAAGGGCTGAGTAGGAGGCTAAAGGAAGGAGTAATTGATTGGTGGTCAGTCATGTTGAAATATCTGTTCACCCAACATGAAATCATTAGGTTTTAATGCTATTTTATTTTAATGGAGAAGTTAATAAAAGGATCCTAGTTTCCTGAATGCCTGAAAACAATCAAGAGGCAAAAAATCTGGCCTTTACAGAACCCGCCACCACCACCCACTCACCCACTTGCACGTGCATGCACACATAGACAAACAGAGTGTACATCAGCAGCATGTTGGGCTCCAGATATGTTGGGGAGAGAGAAGGTAGTGGGGAGTTTAGGAAGGGAAGGGTAAGTGTGGCAATTATATTTCTGTAAGACAGCTTTTGCTGAAAGGTAAACATGATGTACAATAATAAAATACAAGGTAAGCCACTTACTTTCTAGAACATTTTTATTCTAGACGTGATTCTACCATTATTAAAATGTTAACGTACTCTGCTCTACAATGGTTACTTCAGTCGTCCGGTGGCTGAAGATGATGTCCCAGTTGTTTATCTAGATATGATTGTCAGCTCATCAGCTAGCCTTATCTTAGTAACAGTAGGTATGGAGCTAAAGTATATATGGGTATTTACCAGTTTCTGCTTGTGGAAATAAGTTTCTGAACGTAACTCATCAAGAAATGTATAAGAAGTGCCTCTATGTTGCCTTCCCAAGCGTCTGGCAGATGCATAGAACACACAGCTCCTCACATCCTGGTTTACTGAAGTCCTACGTTCATTTGTCATAGGATAAAAGCCCATTTTTTTAAGTAGTTTTTAATGTGTTAAGTACCTTTTTTTAATTGAAATACAATTAACATACAGTGTTATATTAGTTTGAAGTGTACAATATGATGATTCATCAGTTCTGTACATTACTCAGTGTTCGTAACAGTAAGTGTACTCTTAATTGTCAAATCCTGGTTTTTTTTTTTAATTTGTTTAGTGTTTTATTTTTGAGAGAGAGAAAGACCGAGCATGAGCAGGGGAGGGGCAGAGAGAGACAGAGACACAGACACACACACAATCTGAAACAGGCTCCAGGCTCTGAGCTGTCAACACACAGCCCAGCCTGGTGCTCGAACTCACAAACTACGAAATCATGACCTGAGCTGAAGTCAGACATTTAACCAACTGAGCCACCCAGGTGCCCCTGTCAAATCCCATTTTAAAGAGCATTTAATCTAGGATTCTTTCAACAAAAACTTTATGTCATAGTAGATGTTTAAAAGTTGCCACCTAGAGGCACAGTAGGTGCTTAAAACATTGCTTTTGCTAGCCAGATTTCAATCAACTTTATTAAATGATAAAACCTACATAAAAAATTTATTCCTAAGCCCCCAGAGGCATGGTATCTGCCTGTGTAATGAAAGCATTAGGTTTGGATGGAACAGAACTGTTCCATGTGTCTCCTCATCATGGGACCAGTAGCTACTGGGCCATATTTTTCTCAAGGCAGATGGCAAAAGCAAGATGGCAAGCCAAACCACACAAGCATATTTAAAGCTTCTGTTTGTGTCATGTCTCCTAACATGTCATTGTCCAAAACAAGTCAGACCATGTCCAGAGTCAGTGGAGCAGAGAGGTGTGCTCCTCTTATGTAATCACAGAAACAACAGGAAGGAAAGGAAGGATTATAAGAAAATAAAACAGTCTGCCACAGCCATCCCAGCATATCACCTCAGGGCCCGGTTGGGCCCCCTGACCTCCCGCCGTCATTCTTGCATTCCAGCTAAGTGGGGGGAACAAAGGCAAGGAAAATTTAAACATATTTTCTAGAAATTGTACATATTATTTCCTCATATATTTTGTCTCCCACAAAAGAATGTAGTCTTAATTCCAGGCATTTACTTATCCAGCTTAAAGCTGGGGGTTCTGTTACTAAGGAAGAAGAGGAGAATAGATGTTGGGATTGATGACTAACAGCTTTGCCACAGGAAATATAATTTTGTGGAAAAAATCAGAAGGTGTATTTACAGGTATAGCAAGGTGTCAGCAATTAGCCTTCTAGATGTTATTGCTGTTGGTTATTTTTCACTCTCTGTGATCCTTAGACTTAAGAAATGCACAAGAAGGACCTCAAGAAATTGCTGCTGAATTATTTTTTTGTTTTATATTACCCTGAAAAATTCACTTTTAAAAAGGTACACCTTGGGGTGCCTGAGTGGCTCAGTCAGTTAAGGTCCGACTTCAGCTCAGGTAATGATCTACAGTTCGTGAGTTTGAGCCCCACGTCCAACTCTGCTGACAGCTCAGAGCCTGGAGCCTGCTTCAGATTCTGTGTCTCCCTCTTGGCCCCTCCCCAGCTTGCACGTGCGCGCTCTCTCTCTCTCTCTCAAAAATAAATAAACATTAAAAAAAAATTTTTTAAAGGCACACCTTTATAACTTTTATAGTCTAATTTCAGGTTTGGGTAGCTAACACAGTCAGATACACTGTGAGTCCTTGTCTATATAAAAGGTTATCTCCAATATGATCTATCTGTAACTAGTTACACTTCTTCTTAGGAAGGAGTTCTACTGAAAATTGCGGTAGACACTTTGTAGACAAAAATTGTTCAGCAGAGTGTTGGAGTACTTTATGCTTCTTGAGTTTTTTAATTTGATTTGAAAAAATTTTTTAACTTTTCTTTTTGAAATAATTTCCCACTTAAAGTTGCCAAACAGTACAGAAAATTCCCTAACATCCTTTATCCAAACTTCCCCAAATATTTATTTAAAGTGTATAAGTTTAGTGATTTTGTTTCAGCTGTTCCAATACATTTAGGATCAACAGAGCTGGGTAATAAAAGATATTTAATATGAATTCATATGTAGCATTAGCATTACTCAGAACTTAGCTGGCAGTAAGTTTTATTATCTTTTAGCCATCTGCCTAGTTTAATACGATACAGTCTTCAAGTGACCATCAAAAAAGGCATACAGCATCCTAGCACTTTTTTCTTGAAGAGAGGGAGAGTTCTGCCTTTTTATTTGGAAGTGTTACTAAGGAACACTTAAAGCTGAAAGTTTTAAGTTGAAAGTTGAAAGAATACCACAGTGAACACCTATATACTCCCCCTTAGTGTCACCAATTGTTAACATTGCTTTACTGAACTCCTTGAAAATAAATTGCAGACATCACAACACTACACCCCTAAAAAGTTCAGTAATGTCATCTCCAAAGGAAAAAAAAAAAAATTCTCCTAAAGTTTTCCTAATCAACCACAATGCCGTTATCCTATTAAGATATTTAACCTTAATATAATGCTATCATCTAATAATACACAGTCTGTATCCAGAATTCTTCACTTGTTTATTATAGCAGATTTTTTAAAATTGAGTATCCAGTCAAGGTCATGCATTGCATTAGGCTGCCCTTTAACTTAGAAGTTCCTAGCCTTAGTTTCTCTTAAAGACATAGTTTTTGAAGAATCCAGGCCAGTTGTCTTCCAGAATGTCCCACAATCTGGATGTCATTACTCACTCTTAATGAAGCACTTCTGAGATTCCTGAAGAACCCACTTATAGGGTCATACTGTGATTGGAGCTGATGAAATTATTTGTCAGTAGGAACCAGTGGAACCAACTGTCACCTGAGAGTAAACTCCCTTATACCCAAGATACAGGAGCCCACCTGCTCCCCTCCAACCTTGCAAATCCCAGTCTCTGCTTCTGTTTTTTTCTAACACTTCCTACTACCTGACATTATTTACCTGTGTATGTATTTATTGGTTGCCTTTCCCCACTAGAATATAAGCTGTTTGTCTTGTTTGCTGCTGTGTTCCCAGTGCCTAGAAGAATGCTCAGTCTATATTGTTGAGTGAATATTTGAAGTAGTTTGGGTCAGTCTGGAAATACTTCGGGAAGAATTTGTTTGAGTTACCATCTCCAGAGAGTTGATTTTTGCCTTTTCTTACAGGTGTAGGCCCTGCTTCTGTGATGGTTGGGAATCTGGTTGCTGGAAAACGCATAGCACAAGCTGCAGGAAGGGATCTTGGGCAAATTGAAGAGAATGACTTAGTGAGGAAGGTAAGTGTTCAGATGTGTTGATTTTTATAAACAGATTAAGGACAGGTGGTAGATGGAAGCTGCATTATCCAACTTTCACAGAATTACTGACCCTGATTCTTGTTTCTGTTTTACAACTTCAGCACCAATTTCTGGCCGAGATTTTACAGTGGCGAGCCCAGGCAACCCCTGACCATGTACTCTTCATGCTGTTAAATGCCAAGGTATTAAAAATTCAATTGCATATCTAATCAGATGAACATTGTGGTAGGATCTTAGGCACTCGTGATCTCTTTCATCAGAAAATTTCTATTGTCAACTCTCAGGAAGGAGTTACTGCTTCCTCCTTGTTTTGACATATGAGGATAAATTGTGCAATCACTTCAAGGTTGAAATCAGACCTCCTGGAGTGTTATTTAATGCTGGCTCTCCTTGTGTTACAGTCAAGTCGCCTTTATTCAGTTCCAATAGGAACAGTTGGGCCAGCAATGCAGCTCCATGGATCTACAGATTATAGGATGCATTATGTCATGCCTTCTTTTACCCAGTTTGACTCTTAATTTTTTGACTTCCCCCCAGGAAGAAAATGACTTTAGAGAAACATTTTCTAAAACAAGGTTATGTTTACTATATACTTAAACGATTTATTGCTAACAGATATAAAACAAATTGACAATTATTCAAAAGTACATTTAACTCCTACTTTATAACAGATGGTTCATCAGAATATTATATTTTTTAAGTTACGCATTGTGTGGGAAGATGCTGATATTTGTTTCATGGCTGAATCAGAGGCTGAAATTACTGTGACCATGGCATATAAAATTATGTGCCACCATAGGGGGAAGACTGGAGGGCCTATTGAAATCCCCTGGGGACTTATCTAAAGGGTCACCTTCTGCCCAGACCCCCCTAGATTCTGATATATTTTATACAGTTCGTACAGAGATTATGTAGTGATAGGATTTAATGAGGGGGAATATGCTGTGCATCTTAACGAAAAGTCATTAAAAATCGTCAGAACCATTGCTCTCTGGTAGAAAACTTTGGGATTTGCTTGCTCTGCCTCTGTGTGAAGTGGGTTTCCCTCCAATCACATGGATTCATTAGGGTCCTCATTTCAGTAAGATGTCAATCCTGCTTACTTCCCCACTCCACTCCCAAGCTGGGCTACAGTTGAAGCTATAGCCCCATGAAATCTGTACCCCAGGTATTTGTTAGAAAGCATAAGTTTAAATTTGCTTCTTGGTTAGAGAAATGATATATATTTAGTTCATTTATTCCGCATATTCTAATATTTTACCTTGGATTAGCCCAAACCGTCAGAAAGCTTAATAACCGTATCACATTGTTCCCTCATGCCCAGAAAACCGTTTTTATCAAAGGTTTAGTTTGCTGCTGTACCATGGACCGAAAAGAAGAATATTGTAAGATGTAAGAAATGGCCTTAAGAATTTAACCCTGACTTTTGCCAAAGGGATATCCATTTTAGGGTTAAAACCTTAATGTCCAACAATAGGCAACTGACTAAATAAAATATAGCATATAAAATTATGGCATGAAATACTATGCAGCCACAGAAGAATATTTGATTATGCAGAAAATATTCATGATGTATAAGTAGAAAAAATAGTTTATAAAAAACTTCAGTAAAATAATCAAGTACCTACTGAAGATCCTGTTCTGGGTGCTATATATTTCATAGGTCATTTTGAGGTTGAGGACACTGTGGCCCAGAGACATAAAATAAACTTCCCTGAGGTCACAGTGCTGGTAAGTGGTAGGACTAGGAAATGAGCTCTTCATTTGAACCCAGCTGGCTTCTGAGCCCACATTCTTAATTAACCAATGCACCCTATAGCTTCTGGCAGACAGTATAATATGGTAAGTTTTTTTGTTAATGTTGCATGTGAATTTACATATAATACCTAACTCATTTTTTAAAAGCCAGGAAAATATACACCAAAATGTTAGTAGTGGTTACATCTGACCTATATTTTACTTGTCTATATTTTCCAGATGGTCTATCTTGAACATGTGCTATTTTATATTAATGAAGTTTAAAAAAAAATTTTTTTTAGTTTATTTATTTTTGAGAGAGAGAGAGCACAAGCAAGGGAAGGGCAGAGAGAAAGAGGGAGACACAGAATCCAAAGCAGGCTCCAGGCTCCGAGCTGTCAGCACAGAGCCCAACGCGAGGCTCAAACTCACAAGCTGTGAGATCATGACCTGAGCCGAAGTCGAACGCCCAACCACTGAGCCACCCAGGCACCCTTTGTATTACTGAAATTTAAAGGTTATTTTTAAAAGAAATAGCTCAGGAAAACTTGTTTTTCTTGTGAGACTTTTTGAGATATAAAGTTACAATAATTAAGATAGGGTGGTATTAGCACAATAGGCAGAGAATAATTTGGTTTTATGTAGTGAAGTTGAAGATAGGCGTACCCAGTGACCCCGCAATTCCATTTCTAGGTCTGCACCCTGCCAAAACTCATATTTATGCCTGAGGAGACATGTATGAGAATGATATTATCCAGCAGCAGCAGAATGAATGAATAAATTGTTATATGTTTATACAGTGGAATACCACGCAGCAACAAAAATGAGTGAACTACACCATTCCCTAGGGCATAGATGACTCTTAAGATAATCTTGAGAGAGAAACAAAACACAAAAGTGTATACAGCACAATTACATTTATATAAAATCAAATACTTCATGGGTAGTGACACTATAAAGAGGAGGAAATCAGTGATTAAGATGAAAATGTCAAACGTAGTGGTTGTATATGGAAGGAAAGAAGGACTAGACCAAGGAGATCCCTGGGGGTGCTTTTGCACTGCTGGCAGTGGTCTTTTTCATGCCATTCTGGTTCTCACACAGAGGCTTGCTTTGTAATTTCCCACTAAGCTACACATTCATATTTCACACGCTTTCATATCCGTGTGTTTTATTTTACACACAAAAGGGGTTCCCAAAGCCCAGCTCAGTGAAACTTGAATTGACACTAAGGAATTGATGAAGACCTGCAGGAGGAATTATTCTCAGGATCAGGAATAGTTGGCCATCTTCTGATCTGCTCCTCTTTATTATTAGCTAGTGGACTCTGATTCACTGTTCCTGTCTTGTTTACATCTTTGCTGTTAGAAAACTCAGAGCCAAATTTGTGTCATGCACAACAAATGCACATGGCCACGTGGCCAGCAGTTACTGTCCTGACCCCGCTCCCGCCCTCATTCTGCTTTTATTTCCTTTATTTTCCCTCTACTCTTATTTCCTCCTTTAAATAAAAAATTCCTATGTATTTTTGAAGCTACCTTAAACAAAAAACGACTATAAATACGTATGTTTGAATTAGGTTAATGCTGATATTCCCTAAATACCTTCAAGCATTGAAAAAGAAAAACTAGGGGCGCCTGGGTGGCTCAGTCGGTTAAGCATCCGACTTCAGCTCAGGTCATGATCTCGTGGTCTGTGAGTTCGAGCCCCGCGTCGGGCTCTGGGCTGACGGCCCGGAGCCTGGAGGCTGCTTCCGATTCTGTGTCTCCCTCTCTCTCTGCCCCTCCCCCCGTTCATGCTCTGTCTCTCTCTGTCCCAAAAATAAATAAACGTTAAAAAAAAAAATTATAAAAAAAAAAAAAAAGAAAGAAAAAGAAAAACTACCACACGTTCTTTCGTTCAATACCAAGGGAATTTTCGCTGGTATGGATAACTTGCTACAGACAACCGACCAAGGCACAAGCCTTTCCGATATAATGTTGAGTTGGCTGTGCTTGTCGCCGTTTTGTTTCCTGAGTTTTGACCCACTTATACTTTCTTCTGTTTAAAGGGAACTACAGTGTGCACAGCCAGTTGCCTTCAGCTTCACAAGCGAGCAGAGAGGATTGCGTCAGTTCTTGGTGATAAGGGGCATCTCAATGCAGGAGACAACGTGGTGTTGCTCTATCCACCTGGTAGGTGTTGGGTTGATAAACTAGACCCGAGGTCCATTACCAGACTACAAAATAGAAGAATTGAGGAAGTCAGGGACACCATCTGTGCCCATGTAGGCTGTGCACTTCCCAGCTCCGGGAGTCCCAGGCACCTAGGCCAGCGTAGGAACCAAGCCTCGCCCCCTGGAGCTGTGCAGTGCCGTGGGTCTGCTGGGCTGTGTCTGCTGCATTTGCTCTTGTATTTCCACTGTCTAGCCTAGTTCCTGGCGCTATGGTAAATATCAAATGAATTAGTGAAGACTTTCTGACTTTTGGAAACCCTCGAAAGAGGTGCTCTGTTTCTAGGAGTGTTCAGGAATGGAACCATTTCACCCAGTTCCTGAATATTGTGTGTGAACTCTTTTGACTTTGCGTTCTTTATATCCCGATTGATGTTCAGTATTCCTCAGTTATTGCTGCTTTCATATTCCACGCTCTAATTTAGTGTAATAATGTTCTTACTGTGAGAGGTACTCGAAATTATTTGGTAACAGTCTGGTGTAAATATTCAGAACGTTGGGTGAAATATTTGAGTTGTTTTTTTTTCTTCTTCTGTCACCTACCCCTCTCATACATCTGGCCTTGTCTGGTCTTCTGTCCCCCTCAGTTCATTTTGTTCTGTGATTCTTACTCTGCTATTTTATTTACACTGACGCGAAGCTTTCTTAAAAGGTCATCTAGTGAAAGAATCCCTCCTCTGGTGTTCCTGTGAGATTGTCTTCCATCTACCAGTGAATGACATGGTGGTGGACCAGAGCACTTCCAGAGGAGGCCACTCTGCATGTGCTGGTAGTTCAGTCTTCAAATCGAGTCACATTTTGCCTCCCTCAGAGTTGCACTCCCTGTAACTACTCACTCAAAGTAACTACTCACTTAGTAGTTACTTCTCCTAAGTAATATCAAATAGAATGACCTCAAAATATCTTCCTCAGGTGTCTTTCAAGAGTTTTCTTTACTTCTGACTACCTTTCTTCTTAATTATTCTTAGCTTCTCGGTATGTTTGAAATTGTTTTATATGCTTCCTTCTCTACATTCAGTTCCTCCTTGATTTAAAAGATTTCTTCTGCTGTTATCACGTGAAATCACGATCCAAAGAAGCTATCTGGCACATGATTTAATAAACTGGTTTTGGAAGATCTGCCTTAAATTTAGTTTCTCAGCGATGGTGGGCAGCTAAGTGTCTCTGTCTTGCAGGCATCGAGCTAATAGCTGCGTTCTATGGTTGCCTGTACGCGGGGTGCATACCTGTGACTGTCCGGCCTCCTCACGCTCAGAACCTTACTGCCACGTTGCCCACTGTCCGCATGATTGTTGATGTAAGTACCAAGTGTATTGTGCCTTGTCCTCATCTCATAAAATCAAGAGTCAGTTAAGGATCGTTGCTAATTTTCTAGTGTTGTTAAGTGGGAAGTCAAATCTGTCTCCCGAAAATCCCTTCCTTTTCATTTATCTGACCAAAACGACTAGCATTATTTCAGTGAAAGAATGTGGAAAGTGATCATTGGTGCGGTACAGAATTGTGTTGTTATGAACGTTAAGGAGGAAGCTATTGTTACTAATTCTCCATAAAACTTGGTTTTTTTCCTCCCTTCTTAAAAAATGTTCCCATTTTTTTCTGCACAAGGTGATTTTATATGCCATAAATTTATATGGATCATTTTTATTTTGGTTAGTTTTATAAATTCACTTGGTATAGTATTAAAAGGTACCCAGATCTTGCCCTGGAGATGACAAGTTTCTAGAGGCTATGAGAATTGAAGGAAGTAACATAAATCTGTATTGCATCATATCACAATTTGCATTTCAGCAAAGAGACAGAATTCTAATTTGTGTAACATTTGTTTCTCTAAGAACTGCTGCTCTGTCAGCAACTGAAACCTGCAGTATAAAGGCCATGTTCACCATAGATGATTTTATTACAAAATTCACTTCAGCAAAATGCCCTCTTTGCATTCTGCAAAGTAGGCCAGAGCAGCAGGGAGGGCAGTTTCCTTCTGTTGACAGTTTAGGGGGAAGTTGGTCGCTTTGCATTTCCGTGTGTAGGTGTGAAGGAGAGCTTCGTTTTTGTGACATCTCCGTGTCCCTCAAATTCAGGATATGTTCTAGGTCGGGTAAATTTTACCATTCACCAGACTGCAGCAAACACGAACTCCTACAGAGATGATCCTCTGACTCCTCTCGTTCCCTGAGCCATACAAAATCCACATTTTTACTTTATCATAGTGTTCATGAAATCAATACATGTTTGGACCCATGCTGAGATTATAACAATGAAATATTTGAGAATCACTGTTGTACACAATAACTTTTGTTGTGAACAAGTCCATCCTTCTGAGACAATTCAGCGTTACACATTTCTAGGAAGACAAATGTAAGGGAAACACCCACCCATTGTACTATTGTGTGTTCTTTGAAAAACAAATACTGTCCTGTCCAGTATGGTGTGCTTTTTAGTCCAGTGTGAGTTGCTTTTAGCAGCAGCCAGAATCTATGGTGCCACATGGGGGCTAAGCCTCCTGGGTGCTTATTTCTGTCATTTGTTTTCTAGGTCAGCAAAGCAGCCTGCATTCTCACCACGCAGACCTTAATGAGGTTATTGAGGTCCCGAGAGGCAGCAGCAGCTGTGGACGTGAAAACGTGGCCAACCATCATTGACACAGGTGAAAGGGAGATTTCCTCAGAACTGTCAAAGGAGCAAGAACACTCCCTGAAATTTCCCAGATTCTCGTGCCAAAGATGTTTACACAACTCTTAGGTTGCAACACGTTCCACCTGCTAAGACAGAGGCAAAACTTCATGTCCGGTTCACTTGCATTCCCAAAGGACTGGATGCTACAACAACCAGACTCAAAGATGCAGATCACAATATGCTAAGAGCTCTTGAGACAGAAAGTGTCTCGCTCTTACTCTTGACATCCTTAAACGGTGGTTAGGTTTTTATGCAGACTATAACTCTGTACACATGTAAGGCCATTTAAAGTCTTGAGACGATCTGATCCTTGCCTTCCAGGTGTGACACAGTTAAAACAGCATTGGACTAGGAGTCAGAAGGCCTGGTTCTAGTTCAAGCCTCAGTACTTGTTTTCTGTATAACCTTGTCTGAGATTACCCTTTCCTAAAATGCCACCTACCCTTACCGGACTCACATATTTGTTGAGAATATCCAGTGCAACATAACATGAAAGTGCTTTAAAAACCTTGAAGCGCATGAATTTTAGATGGCATTCGTGCTAAAAAAGCGGGTGGGGATAAGACATGGCGATATCTGGAGAATGATGGTAGAGGGAAGAGGAGAATGTGCTCTGGAATCGAGTGGGTGATATTTAAATCCTGATACTCTGTTACTCTCTGCGTATCCCCACTAACTTGGGCAAAACTGTCAAGTGGGAGTCGTGATAACCACTTCATAGAGTTGTAGATATTAAATGACATAACTTACGTAAAGCACCTTGCACATAATCATAATAACATCTTTTGTTGAGCCCTGGATGTGTCAGTCATCTAACATACATTCCCTTGTTTTATCCTTACACCAACCCTATTAGATAGGTGTGAGTTTCATTTATTGTACAGATAGGAAAACTGAAGTATAGGGAGGTTAAAGAGCGGAACTAAAACTCAAACCCCGTCTATTTGGCTCCGTTCCCAGCCTCTTACCCAGAAGTCTCCTCTCTACCTGTTTTTGGTACGTACCACATGGTATCCATCTCAGGAACATTTATGTGGGTTTAAATGCAGGAATGGCATGTATTTGTGGTTATTGTGTGCCAGATGCTGACCTAGAGTTTTTTGCATTTGTTACTTAAGGACATAAGCACAGTTGTATACAATATATAACACAAATGGCCTGTGCTGATGTTCATGATGCAGAAAGATCTCCTATGGTTATTGGACTCAGTCACATTTTAGGAAGACTTGAGCTGTGGGCTGTTACAGACAACAGGAAGGTTTCTTTAGGAACATGAGTGACCTTACCCTATACAAAAGTGGGCTGAAGGTGATAGATAAAGTCTTTGGTTTGACTAGAGATGGGTGTCCAACGATACAGAGATGTAAAAGTCAGAGTCAATTGTTTCTTGATCCAGAAAGCCACAGGAACCATTAAAGAGGTATGGTTGGGGCCAGAGACATCCTTGACATCCTTGGTTTTGACACGCTGTACAAAGCAAATTTGCGAGGAAGGGAGAGGTATATAAATAAATGAGCAAAGGAAGATAATTCCCTAATTCTAGGTTGCCCTTAAAAATCTACCATGTTAACTTGGGGAAAAAAAAAAACACGACTTTTAAAGCAGTCCATGATTAATGTAGCATGTACTAATCTGTAAATAATGAACTTTAAATTGGAAACAGCATGATTAACAACTAAGGCTTTGAAAGCTTTTTGAGTTGTTTTAGAAGTACTTTATGTGAATTTACTTCCTAACAGTTGCTATGAGGGTAGGTATCATTCCCATTTTAGAGATAAGGAAACAGACACAAAGAGGTTAAATAACTCCAAGGTCACGTTGGTGGTAAATGGCAGAGCTGGGATTTGAACACCAGTGACCTGCTTTCTTGGTTCGTGTATTCTACCGCCATGTTACATTACTCCTCACTTGCCTTCTAGTAAATACATTTACCTGATGTAGATTTGCTTGTTTATATTACCTACTGGTGTCCTCAACCTCAACCCACCTCTAGGAGTGACATACATGAACTGTTCAGTTAAATACGAGAAGCCAAAGCCTTAGCAGATCCCAGAAGCTGTATTTGTCCGTAGCAGAGCTGTAGAAAGCCAGTTGAAGAGCAATGATACTCACTTTCCAGTGGGTCTGATTGACATCAGTTTTTTTTCTTTTCATTGCAGATGACTTACCCAGGAAAAGGTTACCTCAGTTGTATAAACCACCCACTCCTGAGATGTTGGCATATCTTGATTTTAGTGTGTCCACAACCGGCATGCTTACAGGAGTGAAGGTAAAGTAGTCTGAATATGTACTCACTCACTCTCTGGATGCTGGTAAAATGCCAGGGCTGCAAAAATAGAGATGACCACTGCCACAAGGACTTCAGATGTGGAGGCCAACTGGTTGTACCAGAGACCAGTAGGCGGAGGATCAAAGGTCCCTGCTATATTTAAATAAAAGCATTGGCTCTTCCGGAATAAGTTTTCCCGAGGAATTTATGTTACGAAGTGTTCTAAACCTGGCCTAGAAGCTAATAGATAATAAGAGTCACAGTTAAAGCCAGTATGAAGCCATAGGTTCGTATTTCATAGAACTCGGTATTGACTAAGGAACAAGAATATGTTAGACTTAGGCTTTTTGAAACAATGAAAAATGTACATACATCATTTGGAGGGGTTTGGGGGAAATTAAAATTTTTCAAAACCGTCATTAGAGACTTTTTCTGCCTGTGGGATGCCAGTTCCATCCTGTTCCGTGTTCCCTACTTTCCAGATGTCCCACTCTGCAGTCAATGCTCTTTGTAGAGCCGTCAAGCTCCAGTGTGAGTTGTATTCTTCTCGGCAGATCGCCATCTGCCTTGACCCTTACTGTGGACTTGGCTTTGCACTCTGGTGTCTCTGCAGGTAGGAATGGAAGAGCAAAGAAGGACTGAGTGGGGATGTCTTTGGGGCTATAACCATCTCATCCTTCCTTCTGCTCCCTTAATTTGGTAATGTTTCAATAAAATGCTGATGTTTCCAGAATGTGTACACCTAAATAGGATCTCCAAAGTTCATTTAGTTTTGTTTATCCTCCCTTTCTTTCTTGTCTGTTAGTTTGATGCCTCATACTTTTGTATGTCAGTGATCTTATTACTTGCTCTCTGCTCCATCCTGTAATCCTCATTTTAGAAGCAGAGCCAAGTAGAAGGGTGATACTTGGGTGAAATATGTCATGCTTTGACAGCCAGAATGCACCCCCTAGGTTTGGCAGGAAGGAATATAATGAGATTGGATGACAGCGTGTGGCTGTAAAGTGGCATGCCTGTCCTGGCCAGATTGTGTCTTATGGAATAGCAGATCCCCACTCCTCCCAGGGAACCGTACCTCAGCCCTGCATTTTCATCTCCCCGGTGGACATCTCCATGAATGCTTCACAGACACCTGCAGCTTGGCATTCTTGTGTGTCCTCATCTTTGTTAGGATGGGACCATTCACCTTAGGGGCACCTAGATAATGCCCACTAGGAACGTGGGCATTGTCTTCAACTGTATGTCTCACATCCAATTAAGTGTCCTGTCCTTTGTGGCTCAGTTGTTCTTAAACCTATTTGTACATAAGAATCACATAGGGGTCTTTAAAAAGGCAAGTTAATGGGCCTTCTCCAGACTTACTAACTTAGATCTCCAGAGGTAGCAACCACAATTTCCTGTATTTTATAAATACAGGATTCTTGGGCTCCTCGGGATTCGGATCTATACACAGGTTTAAGAAGTTGAGGATTCATGGCAGTAGATTATACATATAATATGTGACTCTGTCATTCCTTTCTTTTTATCCTGGCTGCACTGTCGGGATTCAAGCCCTCATCATCTCTCACTTGTTGTAACTGTCTCTGTCATCAGTGTCTGTGTCTCCAGTCTCTCTCCATGGTGCTAATTTTGCCCCAGCTTAAAGCTGCAGCGACTGCCTGCTGGGTAAAGTCTCAACTCCTTCATACAATAATTATACTTTTTTACAGTTTGGCCCCAACCCTTCTGGCCAGACTTCGCACCACTCCCTCATGCATCCTATGCTATAGGATTTCATACCAGGATGCTATTTCTGATGACTTTAAACACACCATATACATACATCTGTGCTTCTTTTCCTTTGCATATGCTGTTCCTCTGCCTGGAATGCTCTCACCATCACCCCCGTTTCCTCCAGCCACTGTCAGATTCTTGGTCATTCTTTAGGCCCCAGCTCAAGTGATGCCTACTCAGCGAAACATCCCCTGCCCCAGCTTTCCTGATTTGAATGACTTGCTCTTTGTTTTATGATCTTCACATCTCAGTTACTGTCCATGCCACAGTCTGCTTTATTTTAGTTATTGTGTCTTGTGAGGTGGACAGGAACAAGGTTGACTCTTCAACCTTTATGTCTAATATGACCCTACACTGCCCTTCCTGCTCAGTAAATATTTGTTGAGTGGATGGTGTTGTAAAACATCGAGATATCTAGGATGAATTGATAATGTCAGCTGCTGCCTTTTTTCATTGCAGTGTCTATTCAGGTCACCAGTCCATCTTAATTCCTCCTATGGAGTTAGAAAACAACCTTTTCCTCTGGCTCTCCACTGTCAACCAATACAAAATAAGAGACACTTTCTGCTCCTATTCAGTAATGGAGCTCTGCACCAAAGGGCTTGGAAACCAAGTGGAGGTGCTAAAGGTAAGAAGCAACTCCAAGTAGCCAGTCCAGGGAGGTTTTATAGAAATGGGCCAGTCATGATGATACCTAAGTAGGGGTTAACAGGCATATCTGCCTGTTCTTTGCTAGCCAGTCAATATTTTGTAAACCTCGGGAAGTTTATTTCTTCCCTTTTCTAATGTAATGCACTCTTTCAAAGTTGAATCTTACTCTTCCTTTATGGAGAAGAAGGTGAAACGAGTCGGGAAGCTGAATGAAAATGACTTCATGTAAAGGTGAAAGACAACTGGGACCTCCAATAGGACTTTTTCCAAAAGAATTTGCAACCTCAGAATATTAGAGATTGGAGACTGCCCCAAAGATAAGGGTCAACTCGTTTATGTTTGTATCCAGGGATGATACATCTGACCGGCATAGGAGAGAGTTCAAAAACACTGACTTTTATTTAATAAAGAATTATGACCCTAAGAAGGAAAAAAAAAGAGATAAGATTTGGGGCGCCTGGGTGGCTCAGGCGGTTAAGCATCCGACTTCGGCTCAAGTCATGATTTCATGGTTCATGAGTTCGAGCCCTGCATCGGGCTCTATGCTGACAGCCTGGAGCCTGCTTCGGATTCTGTGTCTCCTCTCTCTCTGTCCCTCCCCCATTCACACTCTGTCTCTCAAAAATAAACATTAAAAAAGAGAGAGAGGTAAGATTTGATCTCCAGTGTGCTAGATTTCTTTTTCTCTCAGTACCACCTCTCCATTTTGAAATAGACATCTAAAGCACAGAAATGGGGAGGTATAAAAATGAATTGCTGAAGAACCTAAGATTCTTAGATAAAAGCAGAAAGAATTAGAGAATGAACAGATTTACCAGTGGGTAGTGATTTTAGTGGAATGCCTTGGCGTTTCTAAAAATTTTTGTCTTTTCTCTGGGTGTCTTGAGGTGAGAAGACACAGTTCCTTGAGTTTTCCTGACCAAAGAGATAGAGCAATGGCCCTACCTATTCAGTTCTTTTCCTGATCCTACTAACTTGAGCTCCTGTGCCATTGGCGTCTTACAGACCAGAGGAATCAACCTCTCCTGCATCCGAACGTGTGTGGTTGTGGCCGAGGAGCGGCCCCGCATTGCCCTCCAGCAGTCCTTCTCCAAGCTCTTCAAAGACATTGGTCTGTCCCCTCGGGCTGTCAGCACCACTTTTGGATCAAGAGTCAATGTAGCGATATGTTTACAGGTGACTTTCATGAAATCTTCCTTGGTAACAAATGGAGGAGAAGTGTGTGGTGCCCCACAGCAGAGGCTTCAAAGCCAGACAGCCTGGCATGAGCCCAGTTACACTTACTTGCTCTGGGACTGCAAGTTTATCATTTGGATTTCACTCTGCCTCATTTGCTCACCTGTAGGATGAAGATAATAGTATTGTTCTTCACGGGGATCATTCTGTAGAATCAGTGAGTTACTAGGTGCACGCGCTTGGAGCCATGCCCAGCAATTGAGCACCAATATAAATGTTTACTCTAGTAGTTTAATGGTACATGATGATGAATCAAGAAGATTTTTGAGTCTTATTTGAGTTTTATTAATATCTTACCTTCTGTTTTTCTGTCTCCTCCTTTTTTTTTTTTTTTTTTTTTTTTTTTTTTTTTTTTTTAAACAAAGGAAGCACAAATAAACCTGTATTCTTTTCTCCAGCCAGATGGCAACTTTGCCATGTTACTCTTGGTGGGTAAATAACAGAAAAGAACTAAGTCTGATTTTATGTAGCTTGGAGGCTAATGTGGTAAATATAGGCATGGACAAGAGTGAGAGTAAAGGAAGATGGCATACTGGGGTGGGTGCTTTCAGGGCTTCTGTGACTACAGGCAAGTGACTTTCAAGTAGCCTGATCATGATGGAGCCCCATCACTGTCCACTTGGGCCAGTGTTGGTTTTGAGAATCCCATGGATGCTGGCCTGTGTCATCTCTGCCTGGAGTCCAGGGATGAGGATCCTCCTCAGCCTGCTAACCTTTCAGGGCTGTTCTAGCCCTTGTGACCGGGCCCCTGGCCTACTCTCTCAGGGGAGGGAGGGAGAGAAACACGAGGCCATGAGCCTCTTTCAGGTTTTGACTGCAAACCTACCTCATCTGGTTGAAGAGAGGGTGAGCTTTCAAAATAGAGTTTGGATTTTTCATGTAAATGGCTAAATTATCTGTTTCTTGATTTGAGGATGTGAAATATGGAAATCAATTCATTTAAATTTTAAGTGAACAATACATTGGTTTATTTTTCTTTAGGGAACCTCAGGGCCTGATCCAACTACTGTATATGTAGATCTGAAATCATTGAGACATGACAGGTACAGTATATTTATTATGTTCACTCCCTATTTGAGCGTTTTTTTTTTTTTTTAAGTTCATTTACTTATCTATTTTGAGAGAGACAGAGACAGCTCAAGTGGGAGAGGGGAGCAAGAGGGGGAGAGAGAGAGAGAGAGAGAGAGAGAGAGAGAGAGAGAGAGAGAGAGAGAGAGAGAGAGAGAGAGAGAGAGAGAATCCCAAGCGGGCTCCACACTGTCAGCGCAGAACCCGATGCAGGGCTCAAACTCACTGTGAGATCATGACCTGAGCTGAAACCAAGAGTCAGACACCTTACTGACTGAGCCACCCAGGCGCCCCTCTGTTGGAGCTCCTAGGCATAAAAAATTCTGAGCCTCAAGAAAGCCAGCACTTTTCCCTCATTCCTTTTGTTTGTATCTTCCAGGGAGGGTTGGGAAGAGGGAAGGAATTAGTTTTTATTAATACCTGATTAAGATTTATATTTGTAAGGAGAAAGTTTTATCACGGTTGCTGCGCTGTTCGTTAATATTTAAATGTAACACTTCGTTCCTGTCTGTGTAAAAATGTTTTGTAATATTTGATATGAACCAAAATGGATAGACTCTTTCCTCTGGGAGTTTAAAAATAAAAGGTGGAACAGACAAGATAAATGAGGCAGAGTAGAGTTTTTGAAACAACACTTTATCCAAACCCCGGGAATAAAAGCCTTCTTCCTCATCAGCTTATAGGCTTTTAGCTCTATCCCACGGAGTCCTAAAGGGCTCTGGGACATTTTTCCCAGGTCCCACTGACTTTGGCTGTGTTCACTGATGTCCCCGTGACCCTGACCCAGCGTGCACAGGTAGATCATCTCTCTAGCGCAGTGTTCCTCAGCCTGGGGAGGTTTTGCCCTCCAGAGGACATTTGACAATGTAGACGGTTTGGGTTGTCACAACAAGGGAGTTGCTACTGACATCTAGTGGGTAGAGGCCTGGGATGTTGCTAACCATCCTGTAATGCACAAGATAGATAGCCCCTCACAAAAAATTATAGTCGAACATTCTCTGACCCAAAATGTTAATACCGAGTTTGAGAAACTGTTCTAGCATAAGGAGAGACAAAATAGAGGTCTCAGGAGGGCAGTATATAGAATATATAGCTGTAGTAGACGTGGGGCAGCCATTTTTTTAAAGATAGATATATATATGCACACACATATCTATAAATTAAATATTGTTCTTCTACAGGGTTCGTCTTGTGGAAAGGGGTGCCCCTCAGAGTTTACTCCTCTCAGAGTCTGGAAAGGTAATTTGTTCTGTTAACCACTGGAAGGTGGTCTCCCGGGGAAGTGGTTCATTTTAAAGAACACTGAAGCTATATAATAGATTAGTACCTGGGGAAAAACTTAATTGAAATCTGGAGATGATTCAATAATTTTAACTCCACTAAGACTTTGAAATTCGTATGGGTACATAGATACGAAGAATTCTAGGTTCGAACTTCTTAATTTCCACAGATTTTTTTGTTTCTTAATTTACATCCAAGTTAGTTAGCATACAGTGCAACAATGATTTCAGGAGTAGATTCCCAATGCCCCCTTACCAATGCCCATCCCCCTCCCACAACCCCTCCAGCAACCCTCTGTTTGTTCTCCATATTTAAGAGTCTCCTATGTTTTGTCCCCCTCCCTGTTTTTATATTATTTTTGCTTCCCTTCCCTTGTGTTCATCCACGGATTTTTTTTAATCCAACTGACGTGTTATTCTTACTTGACAAATTAGTAAAATTCACTGTTCATTATATTCAAGGTGGAGAGATGAACAAGAGGCAACTCTATTTTTGTCAATGTTACGAGGAGAAAAATAGGGGGGAGTAGTGAGGTGTGGTTGAAGATCAGGGAAGACATACGTGTATTTAAAATTGAGAGAGAAATCAAAATGACAAAGAGATTACAGACATATAGAGTGAGTGTCTATGGGGATAAGATTTCTTAGATTAGAATGATGCTTTAAAATGTTCAAGGAGGGACACAGTTATTGTCTTAGTCCTTTTGGGCCACTGTCACAGAATACCATAGACTGGGTGGCATATAAATAACAGAAACTTCTCACAGTTCTGGGGACTGGGAAGTCCAGGATCAAGGCACCATCAGATTCTGGTGAGGGACTTTTGGTTGATAGGTGGCCGTCTTGTTGCTGTATTATCACACATGATGGAAGACTGCAGCTCCTAATACCATCACATTGAGGATCTGGGTAGATTACATGCAACCCAACATAGGAATTTTGAAGGGACACAGCATTAAGTCTGGAGCAGTTCTGAACAATTTACTAAGGGTGATCAGACACCAGCCTAAGCTATCAAGTTTCTCACCCTTTTGAAGACATAGCGATGATGCCTCAGAATTCCTTCTAGTAATTCTGAAAGGCAGAGGGGGAAATTATAAAGAAAGAAAGGAATCCTGCACAACCTATCAAGCAGCGGATCAAGCCCACGAGGTGCTCGCTCCAGTTTCTCTCTTCCATTTAACCTCTTTGGAGTGGAGTTGGGTTGATCTTACCATCTTGTCAGATCTCCATCTGCCTCAGCTAGTGGTTGGGAGCCTCAGAAGCTTTTGCACAGTGCCTGGCCCAGACCCGCGTAAACGATCTGTTCTCTTCCTTCCTTGAGGTCTTAGGTGTATGAGCCCAGATAATCACTGTAGCACTTCTCAACTAACCTCATACTCTAGAAACCCACGATGAAAAAGGAGGTTTAAGGGACAGAATATGGGTAACCAGAGAAGCTGTGAGCCATTCTCACAGCCAACACCTGTTCTTCCTTTTCTCTCCTGAGGGAGATCCCAAGCATGTGATGTCTCTCATGATCCCAGGGTCAGGATCGATTCTCCTGCTACACTGCCACCGTCCTCTCTTATTCTTCAAGTTCCTCTAACTGGCTTTCACTGTAGATCAGAGCCAAGCCTCTCGGACAGTCCCTCCCTGCTGCCCTTTCTGCTTTAAGGGGTTTTACTGCAGTCACACCAGTGAACAGAATAGATCATGAGAAGGAGCAGTCACATGAGTGCAGACCCTTAGTCTTATGGTTCTGGCCGCAATTTCTCAACCCTTTGAAGAGAAGGTAGACTGGTTGGTTCCCTGGTTTATTTTTGAGGATGAATCTTATTGTATCTCTAGTCTCCACTGAGGACAGTCCAGGGAGCATCACATCAATTAGCCCCTGTCTTTGTGCACTCCCTCACCTCACTAGAAGAGGGGTGGGGGGGTGACTGCATTTTCTAGGGATCACTAGATTTGATTTAGTCTTTGTGTTTTCCCTTTGATTCTCAGATTTTACCTGGAGTGAAAGTGGTTATTGTTAATCCTGAGACCAAAGGGCCTGTAGGAGACTCTCACCTTGGAGAGGTATGTGTCATTTTTATCTTTACTCTGAAAAGTCGGCAGTAAAGCCTTTAGGGTTCGTATTCGAGAAGTCAGTGAAACTGTGGATTTAGCTTTTCCTCCACTGTGAATTTTCGTCTTTTAAAGAGTTTCCATCTTCCTCCGTAAGGCTTGAGACTAAAAAGAGGGAGGTTGAGACCAGGATGCAGAGAAGATTTAGGCACCCAGATTAGAACCACTCCCAGATTTCTCCACTGACATTCCCTTAGCTGAAAAGGAAAATGGCAAATCCTATTTGCCAAATCGAACAAATCCTATCTGTTCTCACCTATTAAGTAGTAGAACTGAAAGGAGCCACAAATACTAAATTTTTTTAATTCGTGGAAATTTTTTTAAGTTTATTTATTTTGAGAGAGAGTGAGGGAGCATGAGCGGAGGAGGGGCAGAGAGAGGGAGGGAGGGAATCCCCAGCAGACTCCATGCTATTTGTGCAGAGCTCCATCTCACAAACCGTGAGATCATAACCTGAGCCAAAACCAAAGTCAGATGCTTCACCAACTGAGCCACGTAGGTGCCCCTAAAATTCATTAAAATTTTATATTCTATTCTAAAATGTATCTTTGTATTAGTATAAAGACTCTTTTTTGTAAAGATTTTGTAAAAGACTGAATTGCTCTTCCCTCAAATATCTGAGGGGCACTGATGTTGCATCCCGTAGTTTACTGGGAGGAGTGTCAGAGGTGCAGGAGCCAGATGGCCTGGGCTTGCCGGTTACCAGCTTCTAACTACTGAGCAAGCTATGTAATCTCTCTGAGCCTCCGTTCTTTCATCCATAAATAATAATTGCACCTATCTCACTTACCTAATGAAATTGTGTGACAGTTAAATACATGAATACCTAGATCTGTTATGCACATGGAACAGTGCCTGTCACATAACGGGTTCTCAGGAAATACTAGTGTTACCATTTTTAGCTCTTGCTATATTTACATTGTAAATTCAAATACCCTGTAGTGTTTTCCTGAGGGTGTTATACCTGAGTTTCAGAAGCGCAGAAACGATCCCCACTGCGTTTGTGGAGCTCTGGACGTGGTTGAGAAACGAGCCAGCCAGGGAGGCAGTGTAGCATCGTGGTTAAGAGCACGGCCTGTGCAGCTGTAGCTGCAGCCTGTGTACAGGCTTGGGTGGGCGTCTCGTAGTTTCTGCATCCTCTGCGAGTTCCTTAACTCATTTTTTCATCTGTAAAATAGGAATAATAATAGTGTGTAACTGTATTGTCACGTGTGTCATGATTGATGGGGATGAGGCATATAAAGTACTTACCTCTCTGTTTAGCACAGTGGAAACACTTGGTAAGTGTCAGCTGCCTTTCTTGTTGTGGTGTTATTGTTGTTAACATAAAAGTGAGAATTGAAAAAAAAAAACAACTGTCCCAAGAGAATTGAATTGCTACAGTTCTATGTTCCTGGTGAAATGTGACCTATGCCTTTTTCTTGTTGTAGATTTGGGTGAACAGTCCCCACACAGCCAGTGGCTATTACACCATCTATGATAGTGAGACTCTTCAAGCCGATCATTTCAACACTCGCCTCAGTTTTGGGGATGCTGCGCAGACACTCTGGGCTCGGACAGGATACCTTGGTTTTGTCCGCCGGACCGAGCTCACAGCAGCCACTGGAGGTAGCTTCCTCAGCAACGCTTCGCCCTTCTGCCTGCTTTGTGTTTCAGCCAGTGTCTCCCGCTGGCCTTCCTCAGCCTACCTTTCTGTTGTGGAGTGTGTGTGTTCCATTATTCCCTTCTGCCATTCTTAAACCCATACATGAATTTATAGTCATTTGAAGAGTCCCTGGGATGCAGGCGCCAGGGTACCACGTCAGCATCTCTGAACTACGGGGTAGCATGGCCGACGGCCGTGGAGATATGCCTGATGACGACCGAGTGCCCCTGGCAGACCGTGCACCCTCGGCCCCTATGGAGCCAATCCTACCCCTGCACAAGCTCCTAGGACAGGTGTTTCATCTTGTAGCTCTTCTACTCCCACATCCCATTTTGGGAGCAGATGTGGAGGAGCCGTCTTGCTGAAGCGCTCTGTCCCTTCGGCACCTCACGTTAGATACCAGACTGCTTGGCAAGGCTCTGGTGTAGGCAGCCCCCATTACCCTCTCTTTAGTTGACTGTCTTGGCGTCCCTGCTGCCTGCCTTCAGCATCTTCTTCCTGATGCCATTAATGGCCATGTTGAAATGCCCAGTGCTAACTGTGTCGTGCATTTCAAGAACTGATATAACTCACTGGACTTTACAGGCCTGAATTAGAGCCAAGTCCTTTCTCCTAAGCTCCTTGTGCCCGGTCCATAGAGACCAGCAGCCACAGTTTCTTCCGAGTTTCGTGGACAAGAGGAAGTTATCCCTCCCCAGGTCCCTTGGCTTTGAAGCCTACCTCTGTCTGCCATTTGCTTTGTGACCTTGAGCAGTCAAAGTCTTTATGAGCTCTTCTCATATGATGGGAACCCTGCTGGACCTCCTCATCCTTCTCTCCCCAACAGCTTCTAACACTTTGTTTTCCTCAATATTTCAGAAATGTTACCTTTTCCTGAAAATATTATATTCAGTAGACTTAGCAAAATCATCTCTTACTTCAAAATGCAATTTCTATATAGACATAAACCATGTAGCCTTACGTATATACAGTGTGTGCATAAAATTTTTTTAAAAAAAGGATTTCTTCCAAGTTCCAGCTGGATTACAAGCCTATTAATAACCAGGACTAGTCTCTCCATATTCTGTGATCCTGCTCCTTCTACCTGGACTCCTTGAAGATGTCTGGGGATCACAACACGTGCTCATTTCTTCACTCTCTCAAATCTTCTCCACCCCCCACCCCACCGCTCTCCCAGCTGTCATTGGCTAATTCCTATTTATCCGTAAAAGCTCAGCGTGGTTTCAGCTTTTCTTTCTCGGAAGCCTCGAGCTGAGCTCCGGCGGGGGTGTCCTCTGCTCACCTCAAACCTTACGCCCGCACCGGGCCCACCACATCACAATGCAGTACTTGTTGTGTGTCTGTTTCCCCACTAGACAGTAAGTGTCTCCAGGGCAGGAATTGTGTTTTGTCATCTTTGCTTCCCAGCACTGGCACAATTCCTGGGACGTAGAGGTGGTAGCAGCAGCAGCAGCAGCAATAATAGTAATAATGGCTAATTTTTTTTTAGCACTTACAATGTGCCAGCCATCATGGGAACTCCCTTACATGGACTATCTCATTTAATACTCGCAGCAGCCATTTAGAGTTCTCCCTGTCTCACAGAGGGGGAAACAGGACCGGAGACTCCAGTAATTTGCTCAAAGTTAACCCAGCTGGTGAGCGGTGGAGTCAGGGGACACGGCGGGCCGTCTGACCTTGTGCCCTGAACTCCACCATTGCATCGTACTCCTTATGTCTGATGAACCAAATTTCTCTTTTTCTTTCTGTCAGAGCGTCATGATGCATTATATGTGGTGGGAGCTCTGGACGAAACGCTGGAGCTGAGAGGATTACGATACCACCCGATCGATATTGAGACCTCAGTGTCCCGGATCCACAGGAGCATTGCCGAATGGTAAATTCCCCTGCACGGAATAGGTTCCCCACCTCAGCGGTAGCGTCCATTAAATTGATCTAAGTAGTCAGCCTTTTGTACCCAATAGCACCAACAGACGTAGAACTCCTAAAGGAGTAAGAAAATAAATGGACCGATTCTTTCCTGTCTTGGTGTGCCATCTGCTGTGGCAGAGGAGGCCGTGGAGACACTGAGACAGGCTCCATAGAACCATCGTGGGGTTGAGTCCTTTCTACGGATGGACTCTTACCTTTGGAAGCGATCGAACTGGTCATCTGCCTCTAGAAAGTGGGTGTGATAAGGTGGAAAGAACCATGACTGGAAGTTCAAAAGACCCAGCTTGAAGGCCCAGCTCTCCCACCAGGCAGCTTTTCTCATGTAAAATACTTTCTCTGCTGTTGCCTAATTATGGTGAAGATCAAATGAGAATGTGCCTCACAAATTGTCAAATGATAAGCAGATGAAAAGCATCATTATTATTTCATCCAACTTCCTTCTCAGTGTAGGAATTTCCCCCACATTCTCCCTGATAAAGGACCATCCCGCCTCATACTGACTAGAAATTCCTTAAAATTAAAACTCTTTAGTTTTTACCTGGCTTTCATTCTGGATTCTTGATAATACAGAATCTTTACAGTTTCTTTTTCAGGTTTTTTAGTTTTTTCTTAGTGTTTATATTTGAGAGAGAGAGAGGCAGAGCATGAGAGCATGAGCGGGAGAGGGGCAGAGAGAGAGAGAGAGGGAGACACAGAATCCCAAGCAGGCTCCAAGCTCTGAGCTGTCAGCACAGAGCCCGATGTGGGGCTCAAACCCACATAGCGAGATCATAACGTGAGCCAAAGTCAGACACTTAACAGACAGCCACCCAGGCGCCCTTTTCCACATTTTTAATGTAGTATGTCCTTCCTTGGTTGTTTTTTGTTTTTTGTTTTTTACCTATGCTAAATTGCCACAGTTCTTTTCATGGTTGCTCATACTTTCTAGATGTTTCTTTGTCAGTATTTTCATTCACTTTGCTCAGAGTCTGTCCCCAGACCTGAACAATGCCCGTGAGTTATAAGAATAATACAGAGAAGTGAGGTGCCATGATTAACCTCTAATGAAACCAAAGGCTGTGTACCTTTTTTTAATGATGGAATCTGTTTTTTAAAGCCATTTAACACTGCATATCACAAGCCTAACCCAGTAGTCCCACTCAATGTAAGGCAACTTTCTACCTTATGGCACTTTTATGGCATGATGGAAGAGACACCTGTATGGGGCACTTTAAGCTCAGATAAGGACAGGTCCACTCTCTTCCTGTTGGCCCTAAGAATATTATCTTAGTCAAAACTCTTCTGTTGTAAATAACAGAAACTCTGCAAAAAGAAAACAAAAAGACAAAAACTTAAGCAAAAGAGAGAGTTAATGGAAAGAATACCTAGCTACCTCAGAGGTTCCTCAAAGTCTCTCTGGGTCTCAAGAAAGGTAGAAACAAAGGAAGGGAAGGCCATCAGGAATCACTGTCCTCTCACTTTCTAGAGCCATGTGGGCATCCACGTCATTCTTTCTCTCCCCCCTGAAGAGCCGTTCCCTATGCTTCTTTGGACACCTGGCTACCGCAGACCTTTCACATGTGGCCAGTTCACGTGACCAGCTGACCAACTTCCAATCTCATTTCCAAACCCCCAAGAGATTGTGGATGGCTCAGCTGATCTACTGTGATCACAGGGGCAAGGCCATATATTACAGACATGGCTGCCAGCCTTCTGGTTGGATCCAAGAGAGAAGGCAATCCTCAGGGAAACGGGGACAGGTTTTGGGCAGGTACTATAAAAGATGACTGGTAAATGGACTGACAGGTTAACTGAATGTCGTTGGAATTTCAGTGCCGTGTTCACGTGGACCAACTTGCTCGTGGTGGTCGTAGAACTGTGTGGCTCTGAACAGGAAGCCCTAGATCTGGTTCCTTTAGTGACAAATGTGGTCCTGGAAGAGCATTACCTCATCGTTGGCGTCGTGGTTGTGGTGGACCCAGGTGTTATCCCCATCAACTCCAGAGGAGAGAAGCAGAGGATGCACCTCCGGGACAGCTTCCTGGCTGACCAGTTAGACCCCATCTACGTGGCTTATAACATGTAACCCGCCTTGTGGGGCTTGCAGGGGGCCGTCCTGAAAAACCACAAGGACCAAAGACCGGCGACTAGGAGCAAGCTTTCAAATGATATGAAATAAGCTGAGATGGTTACATTATACCCTTCATCTCATCCTGTGGGATTCCGCAGTCACAGGACACACAGGCAAGGGCAAGTTGTGTGGTAGCAAATGAGAAAAAGGTTAACAGCCCATTAGTCATGAGCTTTGACATAGCGTGAGCAGCACGTTACTAAAGCAATTACATGCATGTTGCATTTTTTTCATCTGTTGTAAATACTTGTATTTTTATCTAATGCTGTTTTAGAATTTTGTAAGGGAGTTTAATGAATTCACACGAAGGGGGTAGTCGGAGTTCCACAGCTCCCCGCTCTGTACTGTATTCTGATGTTTTACCGTAGCTGGACGTTCTGCGGGTTTTGTTAACATGGATACTCAGCTTACTTTCCGCTGACCCATAAGCAAATCAGATATAACCCACTGAATATGAGAGTTACTCTATATATATACTTCTTGACAGGAAAACATTTTGACTAGTGTTTTAAACATGTAAATAAGAAGACACACACAATTCAGCTAAAAAACTGACACATTGGCTTGTATAGTCCTAACAACTAAAGTAGAAACATTTCTCCTTGGAGAGCATCTCAATGTTCTCTTAATGCAGTGTAATTGAATAGGTAACTAAAAAGTGCAAATCGATCACAGGTTTTGCTGCACATTGTACTATGTCTCTGTTGGCTGATGTGTTTTATGAACTAAAGCTGCCTCTGTTTGTTTTCAAAGCTTGCATTCCCAGAATCGGCTTAAGCTTTTAAGAACTCAACCTGTTCCTACAAGCTGAAAATCTCAGTTTAAAAATCAAAATGTTAATGAAAAGGCTAAGCTTCATTAGATCCCACCCTATGCTAAGGAACCACAATAACTCACTGTGGCCCCCAGTGTTGAAACCGTGTTTCAAATTTCGAGTGACGATGTAAGAATTTAGGATTTCCTCTTTTTCCAGGCCCATTGTCAACTGCGTCTACAGTTTATACATATAGCTTCTCTTTTCTGAAAACTGAAAAGCGTCCTCTGTTCTTCCAGTTCATGAGGGCAGGGATTTTAGGAACAAGAATGACAGGCTGGGAAGGCACTGGGATCGACAGTCGCGTGAAACCGCAAAGGCGACATAACTCCGTATCTCAAAACTGACTGGTTCGGGTTGCCAAGATGGCTAGGCTTACTCTGAAATAGGGGAAGTCTGATGTGTGCAAGAAACTCTTTTGAAATAACTGCGGTGCCCAGGCCAAGTGGACTGAGCATGGGACTGAATTTGGCCTCTGGCTCGGTTTCCTTTCTTTGGTCTGATACTTCATGTATTTGAATATAGTTGAATTTTATTATTTTTTTCTTACAGAAATATTTTTAAGAATTTAAAAAAAAAAAAAAAAGAAGCTCCAAGTGAACAGAGTTAACTTGTTAAATCAGAATGGTTCTCTTTGACCCACTCTGGTCTATTGTGTAAATATTTATTTAGACTATTTTAATAATACATATTATTTACCCCACTGTAACATCATGTAAACTAAATATGTTTTTAAACAATTTTTAAGACTTGTAATTACCCTGAAAATAAGGTTTATAATGCAAAGCCCAGGCCCTTCACCATGGTGGCACTCCCAGGGGCTGCCCTCAGTCTCGTGGCTCAGAGCCACTTTCTTGCCTCCCTTTTACACAAGCCTCTTTTCCTCCCAGTTCCTTCTCCACTGAGGGCAGACCCCAAGGCATGTTCCAGCTCCAGATCTCTTTTTTGACATCTTGGATGAAATTAGTTTACACATGACGGAAGAGGTTCTAAGATGTACCAAAAAAAAAAAAAAAAAAAAGCACTTACGCTGGGACAAGAAAGCCCAGTGACTAGCTACGGTTCGGTTTGCGGAAAAAAACAGCTCGCTTATTTGGAAAGTAATTTTCACCTAAAGTAGTTTCAGTAACTCACTAAACAAAGCAGGGGATTTCTGAAGATTAAAGAGTTCTATTTCCATAATCCACAAGTTCTAAGAGAAAAATAGGCAGAGTATTATCCTTTGGGTTGCTGTGAAAATTGTCACTATACAACTGTGGGTGTCTGCTAGAATTATAACGGGAGCCACATCTGTCATTTTAAATGTTCTAGTAATCACGTTTTAAAAAGTAAAAGAAACCAGCGAAATTGATTTTAATATATTTTTTTAACCCGGTACATCAAAAATAGTATAATCTCCATGTGGAATCAGTATGAAAAGTGAGATATTTTATTTTCTTTGTTTCCTATTAAGTCTTTGAAATCCAGTGTGTATTAAGCACATTTCAATTCGGACTACCCATACTTCCAGTTTTCGGTAGCCACCTGCGGCCAGTGGCTACGATATTGGACAGAAGTGATCTGTACTCATTCTTTCAAATAAGATACTCCATTCCTCTCAGAGTATGGTCAACTCCCAGTTACTTAGGATCTGATTATCTGGATTTGTAGTTCCTCAGACCTCTGCTTTATCTCTAGTTTTTGCTCTCTGCCTTGTGGCTGCTTTATTGATCTTTTGCCTATCCCTCAAAGCCAGAATATGCTAGTGGAAGAAAGAAAGCTGAGCTGTGTCTTTGGGAACTCCATTAGGAACTGTGGTGAAGTGTCCTCTGGAAGGGGAAGAGAGTCCAGTCATCAGCCTAGAGGTGTTTGTGGGGTCATCTGCAGATTTAATGCCTGGTCTGTTACAGACTTGAATAAGAAAACTCCCTCTTGAAGACGCAATGCTTGTGCTCTTTCCATGTTAAGTAGAACCTTTGTGGTAGAAGGTCTTAGGACAGACCCAAAAGGCCATTATTGATAGAAACAGCCTAGCCAAAACTCTGGAACACATTCTGTCTGGGTGTTTACGCCTGTGAAAAAGAAGACTAGATTAATAGCAAGGCCCCATTCCAGTTAAGAGAAATCCATTCATCTTAAAGCCTTTGAACCTCTTTCTGCCTCTCAGCAGAAGTAATCGAGGTAGATCAGGAAGGGGCTGCTTCAGGAAAATTCCTAAGCCCAAGGGATTCTTAGAGCTGCACAAATGTCATCTCCTGCATCAGCGAGACCCTGGGAATGACCGGCATGCCAGCGGGCATCAGTGTGAATCCACAGCCTTTATTTACTTCCTGCCTCACAAAGGGCCCCGGGTCCAGACCGCCACAACCACCAAGTCCTTTCCTCCTGAAGTTGTGCTGCCTCGGGCTGTTTAGGGACCATTGCCTGTCTGTTGGTAATCCGAGTGTTTCTCCTGTCTTTAGTCCCTGAGCAGTGCTTGCTTAATGCTTTTGTTGAATCAACAAAGGGCCTGAGGCCTTAGGTTTTTTGTTAAGGTCTCTGCCCCAGGCATGGTGCTCAATATCTTGGCCAAATAAATTACTTTCCTTGAATACGCAGCAATCTTTTAGACTAAAGCAATGAGGAGTTATCACCTCACCCTCAAACTCCAACATGACCTATGCCTTAGTGTTGTTGTTTTCGTTGTCTGCTCTGATGTAAAAGCAAGAGTATTTGGAGCAAGAAGCTGCACTACTCCAGATACACAATAGGCCTTTTCTTTATCATTCATAATAACATTTCCGGTTTAGGTATATGTAGATGGGCCATGTTATTTGTCCACAGGAAGAGAGTGTAAAGATATGAGAATAATTTTTTAGTCCTAAATGATGTTTTGTTTACTTTCTGTCAAGGTATTTACCATTGTCAAATTCAAACTATAGTACTGTGTAATTATGTATAAAGTTTTTTTATTTATTTGAAATTAGACTAGATATACATTTTTAAATTTAACATCTGGCTGGACAGTGTTCTATTAACTCATTGAATGTGTTTCCTTTGTCTTGTGTTAATAAATATTGATGCCTGATTGTGTTTAATGCTTCACACATTGGGAGGATGGATAAATTGGAGTTGATACGTCTTAAATTTAACTTCAGGTAGCAAAACCTACAGAGAGCTGGAGTGGTCTAAGGAAAATGAACACAGAGATCCAAAGTTACTGCAAATCACTGCTGTTACCGGAAGACAGATCAAGGAACAAAAGAGAGTCATTTTGAGAACTAAGAAGCCTTTTTCAGGAAAAATTAAAGTTTAGTTTTCCTCCTACCTATGTGGCATTTGGTTAGTTTTAAACTATGGATCATAAATTGTATTTTTTTTTTTCCTCATGTGTGACTGGGCTGGATTTCAGCCTTTACTAAAGCAGTAAGTCATTTGCTCTTCATTTCTTGGTTTCAAGAAACTTGATAGGAGCCCATCAAATTGTGCATGTTCTCCAACACTAAAACTGGTCCTTGAACGATTATCCAAGCTGTTTAGGCAGCTGGGAACATTCTTTCACCTAACATACATTTATTGAATGCCTACCCATTAGGCCCAAGGCACTGCAATAAGAACCGAAGTTAGAGAAAATTAAGTCCCTGCTTTGGAGGGGATACAGGAAAACAGTACAATATATTAAGGGTTATGAGTAGAGGTGGACAGTGGGAACAGGTAGGACAGGCACCCAACCCAATGATGAGGGAGAATAATGAGGAATATACATGCTGACGGAGGTAACCCCTGAACTGAGTTTTGAAGGATGAGACAGCCAGATAAAGACAACAAAGCAGAAAGGCAGAGTTGCATTCTCTGGGAGCTACAATTCGTTATTAGGATGGAGGGTTTGAAGGGGGAAAAGTTACAGATCGTTATCCATGGGGGCTTGATCCAAGGCTAGATCACCAAGGGCCTTGGGTATCATGCTAGGAACTTTGGACTTTTATCCAGGGAGTTAAAGAGCGCCAGTGAGGGATTGATAGCAAGGGGATAACATGCTCAGATTTGCAACCTAGAAAATTATGCTGGTGGGTGGTCATGTAGAAAATGGATTCATGTGGGGCGCCTGGGTGGCTCGGTTAAGCGGCCGACTTCGGCTCAGGTCATGATCTTGCAGTCCGTGAGTTCGAGCCCCGCGTCGGGC